ATGACCACTGCTTTTTCTGGGAGGAAAACCATGTTAGTGAGTCCAGCCCCATGTACTCCTACCATAACATCAACGGAGTTGACCATCTCCGAAACTAATGATACATTCGAACCTGTTTCCTTAATGACAACATTAAAGCCTATTGTTCGAGCCATTTTTGCAATTTGTCTTGTGTTGATCAGCCGCCTTGTTTGGCTTCTTGAAATTACAAGAAGTCGTGGTCTTTTGCCCAGTTTCTTGTCATTTCTAAACTTTTCCACTCTTTCCCTCTTCAAAGAATAAGCACTTCTTAAGATTTGCCTGAAGCCCATCATCGAATATGAAGACTCCGAAGAATCGATCCCAAGTTCTTTGTTGGTGGCTTTTAGACCAACAATGACTCTGGGGAAGCAGAGCACTCGACTCTCTTGATCAATATCGATGAAATCGTACTTGGATAACTTTTGTAGCAGGGGTTGGTACTTGTCTGTCCACCAGGAGTGATGATCGGTTATAAGAAATTGTACTTCACCATTGAATTCAATAGATGTCAAATATAGTGGAATCAAGACATCAGAGAAGTCATGGAATGCGTTTCCTGCATATCCTCCCGTGGAGAAAACAACCGCGGGAATGTTGTAGTTTCTACTGCAATCAGGAAGGCCCCCTAAAACCTGTGCTGGTTGAATTGTTATTCTCCTGACTCGTCCCATTGCAATGCCATCTTCTTTTCTGGCATAAGGCTTTATGTTCCAAATCTCTTTGCCAACTGGCATTTGAGTCGGTGTTGAAGCAATGAAAATTTTTGATGAGTTACCATGAATTCGTATGTCCCCATTCATCTCACAAAAATCTGATCTTGGTCGTGTAAGGTTGCACATTGGCTTCACTTCCTTTGTGTCAAAATCTGAAATTACCAAGAAAAGAAACAACCAACTTTTAATTGATTATTGTGCTTCAGAGTTTATATGAACTTTACAACAAAAATTTTAACTCAGCCAACAAAATAAGCTCACGAAAAATTTGCTGCTTCGGAATAGCATAAGATTGTTTAGTTAGCAGAGCATTTGGAGGCTTAACATTAGCTCTAATCAGTTTGGCAAATCAACAAATCATAATACCGGAAAATGTTCAGCCTCTGCATCCATTTAGAAATGCTCAAACATGATAATTTTTATATGAGAGATTCTTATATTCTTACATGATTGCCGTGGTTCAACTGCTGCTTCCTTGCTTCTCATCAGCATGTTGAGGCTAGCTCCTGTTGACAACTGCAAATGCAAATTCACTGCAAAATGCATGCATTATGTATACCCAAGTTAACAAAGAAATTAAAGCTGGATAATCAGAATTGTGCTACTACTTAGCACCTAGTTAACAGGTGTGGTGTATATTGCGTTAAAGGATTGACAAATTGAAGACCAAGGATGTCTAGATGTACAAATAAGCTATACTCCGAAAGTATAAACATATCGCTATCTAGCATAAATCTTTTGTACGTGTAGAAGCTTACAGACTGGTGGATTGCTGGACATGTAAGGTTTGAAAACAGTGAAAATTGTCACAGCAATGACCAAGGAACCAACAAAAGCCCAAGATCCTAATTTTCTCTGCTCATGCCAACTGAAACTTCTCGCAAGCATAGTATTATATGTCATCTTATTTTCTTCCCTAGCAATAACGAATGATCGCCAATAAGAACAAGAACAGGAATGCTGTTCCACAAATGGAGATTTCCCTTTTCTCAAACTTTCAGAGCCCATGGAAAGGAAACCGAATGCCGGATTATAAAGCTGTCATGGATTAGCAAGTCGCGTTGCATTTCAGAGGACGGTAGAGTGAGGTTTTCAAGAGATTTCAATGACAAATGGAGAAGGGAAGTTGAAGTGCCTTTTTTTTTTTTTTTTTTTGGGGAGTGTTTGCTCCCCACGATTTCCATAGTTCTGCATTGATTTTGCAAAAAATAATTTATTTTTTGGGAACAAATGTAAATTATTTTCTTGAAAACGACTTCTGGGTTGACTGGTGAGACAACAAAAACATTCCTTGGATTTTTTTTTTTCTTTTCAGGTAATGCTCCTTGAGAGATGATATATCAATGTGCAATTTTGAATTGCAAGAATAGTGTCCATTTGCCAAATCATGACAAATCCAGTCAAAGAAATTAGCAGATTGAATATAAATACATGAAACTCCTACCAACTTTGTCTTATTATAAAATAATAAATTGTTTTTGTTTTGCATCATAAAGATTTATTTTGCGTGGATTTAAATTTACTTTGCAAGTCATTCTTTCGTTATCCTGCTAACTAATCAGCAAATGATTAATCTAACAGCAAAATCAGTACACTTCATGATCTTGGCCAACAGTTTTTTTTTTTGGACAAATTACAATTTACCCCCTGTAGTTTAGTGTTTTATTACATAACCCCCTATGATCTCAAAAGCTATATATAACCCTTTTATTGTTTGAATTAAAGTGTCAAAATAACAGAATTTGCAATCCATAACAAAGTCAACTAAAATGTCAAAAATACCCCTATGTAAAGTTAAAAATTATTTATTAACCACAAGGGGCTATGTATCTATTGAAAATCATAAGGGGGTTATATGGTAAAACACTAAAGTATAAAGGGATTATATGGTAAAATGTAAAACTATACAGGATTAAAGTGTCATGCATATTATGTTTATATATTTTGGTCACTTAAACCATTTTAGTTTTTAAATAGGGGTAATTTCGACATTTTTACAGGTTCCGTTACGAATGATCATTTGTGTCATTTTGACACTTCAATCCAAATTATGAGGGGGTTATATATAGTTTTTAAAACTAGAGAGGGGTTATGTGAAAATTAACTATACCACAAGGGAGTAAAGTGTAATTTGCCCCTTTTTTTTTTTTTAAACAAAAGTGCCTTAAAAGAAAAAGGATTCTCCAAAAAGTCCAATCTAAATAACAGCAGTATGGAGTATGTCAGTAATTAATCAGTACTCCCACTCGAATTTCATGGGTTTTGGAAGCTGGGGAACGGGGATCCTTTCAACCAACTAAGGTTTGGCATAGTTTTCTGCTTAAACCATGATCCTTTCAAAATTAGGTGTAGTTTTTTAGGAAAAAATTTAAATGTACCCTATTAATACGTAAATGTGCCCCACTGACTAAACAGGTGTTTGAATTTAGGAAAAAATTTTGTTTTATTAATTAAACAAGCAAATAGATATAATTTTTCATTCTTAATGATCATTACAAGTCTAATGCTCTAAAGAATTCAGTCGGCGAATGTGTTTTTCTACGAGTGTACTTTAAAGAAATGTAGCACATTAATTAGTAGGTGTAGGTTCCTCATATCCTCTTATGTTATTTACTAAATACAAGTATAGTTACTCCTTAATCCTTGTTATGTGAATATCATTAGGTGCTCTTTTTTCTTTTTTTTTTGTATCCTTCGTTGATAAAACTTTCGTGAAGTGTTGTATGTGAGATGAAAATATTAGTAAAATGTGATTGAAAGTATAGTCGGAGAACAACATAAAATAAATTAGCGAATAGCTGGTTACAAAAATAAAAAGTCTACTTTTATTCACATAATTGAAAGAATTTATTTCAAACTGTGCTCCTACTGATTTACTTCCTTTTTCTGGGTCTGCCACTGATTTTCGGGGGCGGAAATAGTCCACCGAGCGAGTAAGCTGGACAACAGGATGTGGGTACAGTCGGTAGAGAAATAAAAAGAATTTATTTGCAAAAGCATAAATTGTCTTTTCAACTATGCAAAGAGCATGAATTGAATTTAAGGGTCCAAAAAGTTGTTTTTTGGTGGTTATAAGACTTGGACATGTTAACAAATACGAAAAATTCGTCTAATCAAGTATCGAAAGGATGATATGATAAAATAATTGAACCGCTAGGATCACCGATTACCATTATTAAGGCATAAACTTAAATGATTATCATCAATGATATTCCTCTGGGGATCTCTACAGTCCGAACCAAAACGTGTGTGCCTCGAAAATGGTAGTATTCAATCTCTTTTTGTAGATGCTGCACGTATATAAATATACGTGATACCACACATTTACCAACTTCCAACCATAAATCGGTAGTTCATGATTTTGTTTTGTTGACAATTGTCTTCTATATTTTTTTTAGTATAGAAGGTCTATTTTGTCCTTTGTTTAAAATTATATAAAATATAAATTTACATTTTTTAAATCCGATTAGGTTCAATTATATTCAAAATCCGGCCAGCAATTTGCAGCTAGAAAAAAAAATGTTCATATGAATTCGATTGAGTTCGAATTAATGTGGATTGGACTCTATATGCACGAGCTCGAACTCGAACTTGCGTAAGGCAAAACGAACTCGAGCTCGATTTTTAAGAGCTCAGTGAGTTCGAGTTCGAGCTCGAACTTGAGTCCAAATTTTAGTATACTACTCAAAATCGATTCCGCTCGATTGTATCCTTAGTCTTCTCTCATATCCTTACACATTAGTATGGTATGTACTCCTTGCAAGAAAACTAGAATCCCAGCATAAAAAGAGTTCTGCTAATGGTTTTGGGAGGCGGTCCATTGATGATTATCCTAGGGCTCTTCTTTATGCATTTTCAAATCTTGATCAATATCAACTCAATCAAGAAAATCATGACGATTTTCAAGCACCCCAGATGAGATAGAAATAATTAACTTCCAATTTCTGAAGTAACTTATTCAAGTATTTTTGTTGGATGCATAGCCTACGTCCATTTAACCAATACAATTGGACATGTTTGCAACCAGAACAATGTCCCATCTAAGTGAATTGTCTGAGGGCATCTTTCAAACACAGAATTTAATCAACTTAAAATCCTTTCAAAAAAATTCTACAAAAAAAAAAAAAAAAAAAATCTTAGTTTTGCCCTTTTTTTAACCAACTTTTTTCATGGATCGCTCTGACATCTTCTTTTGCTTGATAAGATAAAGAAAAAAGCGGCAATTGGATAAAAAGAAAAATTTATTCCAATTTGTCGCTCAAAAAATATAGTGGTAATAAATATTGACAAAAACAAGGAGCATAAAGGGAAAAAAAGGGAAAAGAAAAGGACTGATGCTTGCTTAATTACACATCTAGCTCTAATTAACTAGTGACGGCGTAGAAGCTTGAGGGCTTTAACCAAAGTTGATTTAAACCTATGCAAATCAATCTTCACATTCTGTTTATCCAAGTACACCGATCTAATTGCACCCCATCCCTGTTTATGAAACGAAGATGGGTCTCTAAAAACTGCATGATCAAGGGGATACTGCTCAATTAAAGAGCTCTCTGTCGCCTCAATTTTGTATTCCAAGTATCTTATGTTCATATCCTTTGAGGGGATTCCAAAGTCTACTCTGGCAAGCCCGTCAATGCCTCCCAAGGGAATTATTTGTACCAAAATTGCATTATCTGGGAGAAAAACCATGTTGGTTAGTCCAGCTCCATGAACTCCCATCAAGACATCACAAGAATTGACTAACTGAGCAAAACTTGTCAAGTTTGTTGAAATGCCTGCCTCTGCTACTATAACTTCATAGCCTAATTTTCGTGCCATTCGAGTGATTTCACCTTCGTTTGTCAATCTTCTTGTTCTACCTCGCGAAATTAGCATTAATCGTGGTTTTTGGCCGGCCCCTTTCCTCAGTTTGATCGCTCTAGTTCTCTTCAGGGAATATGTGCTCCTCAGGAACTGCCTGAAATGGTTCATGGACAAACCATTTGGAAACTTTGATGAATCGATGATAAACTCTTTATACGATTTAAGCCCTGCAACCATTCTTGAGTAGCAATGGATTTCCTTTTCTTTATCGATGGCGATTATTTCGTGTCTGGAGAGCCTAGAGAAAAGCATTTGATACTTTGATATCCACCAATGTTGATGATCAGTTGCAAGAAATTGTACCTCACCTCCAAATTCTTGTGAAGTTGAATAAATTGGAACCAATAAATCTGAAAAATCGTGGAATGGATTTCCTGAAAACCCTCCTGTAGAGAACAAGATTGATGGAATGCTGTGATTTATGCTGCACCTGGGGATATTGTCCTCATTATGTGACACTAATTTTATGGTCCATTTCTTGACACTGATCATTGCTCCTCCATTGCCTTTTCTGGCATAAGGCCGTGTGCTCCAAGACTTATTTTTGGCTGCAATGGTCGTTTGAGGCGAAACAATGAAGATGGTGCTGGAATTTGCTTCAATTCTTATATCTCCTTTGATCTCACAATAATCTGAGAGGGGTCCCAAGAAATTGCATGCTGGTTCTACTAGTTCCTCTGATCGAGTTTCCACCTTCTTTGCTTGAGTTGCTACAAAATTTAATTGAATTTAGATTCACACTATTCGAAACTGAACATTAATTTTGTTAAAATGCTTGCTTTTGCAGAAGAAATTTTTTGCTCTTTGACATCGGGACAAAAATAGCCATTTTCAATTTTAACGTTTTTGAAGAAATTAGTCGTTGGTAGCAAGTTCAGAAAGTAAACAAGGGGGGAAAAAAAAGGAACCATAATGCTCGTTGCATTTTCTTCATTTACAATACAGAACAACCTTACCGTGTAATGCAATTTGCATACCTAATGGAGGGTTGGTGTCGATATCCTTGACTATCGAGGTGTTAGTTGGATCCGACTCCACTGCTTCAGTTGCTGCATAATTATAGTGAAATTCGATTAGGAATACAAGATACCAGAATAGTCATTGATCAACTCATTCTTTTACGGAAGAGATGAGTGTAATCAAGAGATCCCGACTTTGAATCCTCCCGCTTATACTAAAAAAATGACTCGTTAGTTGGAAATTGGTATACCATAATCATATACAACCTGATTTTATGATAGTCTTCAATTATCCTTATGGACTCTCAGAAATAGATATGTATCATTGGACTAAGCACCCTCCCACATCCCTACTTTTGATTTCTGGCTGGTCTCTTGCTAACAGTCTATGATATAACTTTCCATGATCAAAGTTATGCATTCCACTAAGTTGAAATCTTATTATAAGGAAAGCATTGTCATGCATACCTAATGGAGAAGAGGTGCCCATGTCATTGACTCTCAACATATCAGTTTGCTCCCCCTCTTTTGCTTGATCAACTGCTGCAGATCAATAAAGTAAAATTCGATTTAAAGTATAAGTAACGAAAAACTAAAATTTTTTAAATCATATACTTTTCTTGAACTTTATCCTAACAAATGTTAGTCATTATATTAGCCCTGTACATCTATAAGATCTATATTCCACTTAGCCAAAATCTAGTTACTATGAAAGATTACCATGCATACCTAATGGTGGGGAGATGTCCTCGTCCTTCACTGCTAACTTGTCTTGGGCAGCATCGATGGATAATTGCAAATTCATTGCATTGCCAACTGAAGCAAAGATTGAAGCAAGAAAGTGATCATTAATTATCCTTAAAGGATTAATCTTTTCTACACTGCCAGTGTATACACTAACGAGATTGGATGAATGCCACATCATTTGAATTTAAACATCAGATTTTGTATATGTGACATGCATCTAGACTCGCTAGTATATACACTGTTAGTATATAAAAGATTTATCCTTAAATAAATTCTTTCGTATATAGAAATTCTTGGAATAAAAAAAAATTCCCATGTGCCTTTGTGTGAATTGTGAGAATATGAGACTGCTAGCATGACTGTAAGAGCAACACTTTGGAGTAGAGAACCAACTTTCACACTACAATAACTTAAGAAGATTACTTAACAGCTCAAAAAAAGAAAATGAAGAAGAAGATGATTTAACGAGTTGAAGTTACTTTGTTAAATTATAGAACCATGCATTAATATAATAGCAAACAAAGAGGACTTACGGATTGCTAGAGGATGGAAACCAGGCTTCAGTTCCAAGAAAATGCTCACTGCCATAATCGTACATATGAGAATTGCCCAGAATCCAAATCGTTTCTGCTCATACTTGCTAAAGCTTTTAGCAAATATGGGATCATACATCCTGAGATGACAAGCAAAATCCACTCACTAGTCACTAGAACTGAGACACTAATGAAATATAAAGCATGCTAGCTACTTCTTTGTTTAAAAAGTTGATAAATTTGGCATTGGGGTCAAGATTAGGAGGACCATGAAGAAATGATATAACCATTCGCAATTTTCACGTCCTAATGGCCTTGTTTCTTCTTTATGTATAAAGGGACATTGCATGGTTGATGAATGGAAAGAGACATTTGCTTACCTAGAGTGAGACAATCGTCATATATACATATACTCGTTTTTCTATTGTTTAGGTAACGTTTTTAATTAGTTAACTCACTGAATAAAACGTCGGTCATTGTATTCATCCTTGAAAGTAACATATCAACCAGAGTTGTTATAGAATCATTGGAAAGATACAGTTGAATTTGTTGTTAATTAATCATCATATTAGATTTTATTAGGAAAGAGTGAACTGAAAGCCACATATGCATGCAACTACAAGACTAATAATAATCTCGAGTATCTAAGTTGACTGTTGATATAAGCCATTGCGAAATAAAACAGATTAAAAGGTTTAACTACAAAAACAGAACAAGTACTTGTCACTACTTGGAAGGACAAATAAAATTAAGGGAAATTAAACATAGATGTCTTTCCACTTAATTTAATAACATAAATACCTTAACACTTAATTTATTTATGAAAATTCAGTTTAAAAAAAACTTTCACTTAATTTTGTAAACAGAAAAAATGAAGTTGTGGGCAGTAGACAATGCACACTGAAAATAAAATCAATAAATGAAATTAAGGGAAAGGACATCAAGGGGATTAATGATCTCTGTCAGGTGCTAGTCTTGGTTTTTGGGGTTTAGCTTTTGTGCTAATCTTCTTTGCTGGTGCTTAATTTTTCTGCTTTGGAAGATTTTCTAAACTGGTAAAACTTGCAGTTGCTGTCTAATATTAAACACGATAGTTTGCCTTCACAAATATCTTTTACGTAATATGTAGCCAAAATAAAACCAGAAAACTTAGGCTTTGTTAATTTGACGACCCTTTTTTTTTCTTTTTCTTGGCTCAATATCTGGATGAAATGTACCTAAATTTTCTGTTGCGTCTTGGAAATGGCCCATCATCATCGCTTGCTAGAATAACATGACATTAACCAATAATAGTTTTTTCTTCAAAATGCTGGTATGGATGCAAAAGGGCTAATACAAAAACCGACTTGCTAAATCTGACATTACCAACTCTGCTGAATTCTCACTAAACTGAGAGTTAGGTGGTTATGTCTAAGCTGCTCAATCATTTCCAGGTTTGATTTCCATGAATCAAAACCACTCCACAAGAAAATAAACGTATATATGCACACATGATTTCGTTTGTTACCTGCTCTGCATTCTTTACACGAGAATGGGCAAAGATTGGGTAGCACCAGAAGGGGACGTCTAAACCCATTCTCTGTCTTGCAGTTTGCAAGAGGTTGCTTTGTTCGTAAATTGCTGTCAAATTACGTAAAATGGATGTATTAGATTCTTCCTTCTGATATGCGATACTTATGTTACAATTTGGCCTATTTTCTTTGAAGCATCATGTATAGCCTTTCTCCTTACGGAGCCTAGGGGCAAACACTCCAAGATTTCGAACAAATTTCTCGATTATATTACAAGAAGAGCAAGATATTAACATCATTATATAATTTTGTAGGGTTAATAACTAAACTACTATGGACCTGTTTGACAAACGAATTTTTCTTCAAGTTTTCTTTTACGAATTTTTTAACAATTTTATCTACAGTAACCTCAAAAAGTTCTTTAAAATTACTAAACTACGGGCCTGTGATCTGCTGCACTTGGTGATTAGGAAAAGGACGACAGATGTCAAGTCTTTCTTGTGAAGAATGCTTGTCGGTCGCAAATTAGAGCAGGGTTGGATTAATGTAACGTGCCCGACTTGTTTACCCCATTTTCCTATTTGCTTATTGTTGTGGTATCATTAATTAACTTAGGCCAAGGTTGAAGATTGATTTGGGACCATATATAATGTCAGAAATTCCAGATAATGTCACCAAGTCTCAAGAGTTGGACGTGTCATTTGGGTTTTGGGGTCTATCAAGTTTTACACGAAACCTCGGATTTCGATTTGGTTTTTTGTCACAAAAAGTTTCCACCACTGATTGATTTAAATCCGTCAATTATTATGTGGTGTTATAAGTAACAAGTTTCTCCCAATAAGTTCTCTTTGGCACCTTCAAAACTAAGAGCTGAGAAAATACAGCATAGGTATGAAAAATTCAATCTTAGTTATATGGAGTTACCCAAATTGACAGTCTTTAACATTTTAAACTTGTTCACTTGAGTAACAAGTGAAACCCTTTTTTTCTTTTTCTTTTTTTTATTGCTTCAAATTTGAGTTTTGGGCCTAATTCAAAACAAGGCTTCTTCTATCATATTTCTTAGCCGACCCTTGAGCACTAACTTGGTCCAATTGGAAAAACTCAGATAGTGAGATAGTCCATCAAAAAATAGCATATTGATTGGTCCAATTGTAGGATTCTCAATTATCCTCAATCTCCATAATTAGCAAATTGATTGGCTAGGAATATCAGTTGCCCAGGCCTGGTCCCAGGGAATTGTACCAATACCTCTTTGAAACCACTTTCATTATTTGGTTCTTGCAAGAGCTTCCTGCAACATGGCCCAATTAGTTTCTACCCGATAACAATAAAAGAAATGACTATTGGCCACCACCATAGTTTTTAAAGTTTGGTGGGATAGAAACTCAAGAGTTCAAATCTTATCATTATATATGGTTTACCACTTTAAATGACTTAAATTCATACGGGTGTGCATTGTATCCATTTGATCCGATGGTGGTTCAGTCCTCTGTCAATTTCTCAATAGGTCTAGTTGGACCCTTCCTTTTAGAATAGGCTAGAGTAGGATTAGAAATAGGTATCAAGTAAACAAGTGACGATTGATAAAAAAAAAAAGATAATAATATAAAATATTGGTCTAATCATGATCCCCAAACCATACAAGCATCAGACAGAGCAGACGTGACGACCTTTTTTCGATTTCATTGTCCATGCACTTGGGACAATGACTCGACTAAATCTCAAATCCTACAATTATTGGTGTCAATTATACTTTACAGTGTAAACACTATCACAAGTGATGTTGATCGCTGAACCTATAAAATCACACAAACAATTATGTCTTAGAACCAAATCTCTCCATCCAAATTTAGGGGAAAAAATAGACAAATCTATCTATTAATTGGCTACTATTGATCTCTAGGAGACCTAAGTCTACTGTGAGGTTCCCGTTTCTACTACATAAGGACATACCAATGTACTATTTGGCTTTCTAATAAGTATCTTGACTGCCTATTCGAATATGTCAGGGTCCTGGGTTTGTGCTTGCAAGTTGCAGAGAAGGAGAGTGAACTAGGGAAGATTATTTTAGGGAAAGAGAATGAGAGAGATGCAGGAGAGAGGATAGACAAAAGCAGGAGAAGGGAATTAATGAATCTGTATTTCTTTCCGTATCTTGATTCTGTTACAAGCTTGCTATTTATAACGTGACTAACAGGAGGAAACTAATCCAACGTGAACTAATAGAATGAACTAATCTAACTAACTGCCAGAATTATTCCAACGGCATCATTTTGGTCATAGCCTTATTCTGGCTTACTTCTGAAACGCACACTCTAATGAATAAAACAACAGATTCCATCTAGGTCCCTGACAATCTCCTCCTCATAAAGAAAGCTTGTCCTCAAGCTTTAAAATCTGGAAACATTTTATCAATGAAACTTTTATCCTCCCAGGAAGCCTCAGAGTCTGGCAGTTGATTCCATTTGACAAGATATTGTATAACTGGTTGAGATTTCCTCATAGTGACCCTGCGTCTAATCACTTGCTCAGGTTGTAGCAAGCACTGATATGAGGAATTCAACTTGGGCAAGACTAGTTCAGGGGTCTGAGTGTCACGAACTTTCTTCTTAAGAAGTGAAGCATGAAATACCGGATGAACTCTAGCTCCAGGTGATAATTGTAACTTATAGGCTACTGCCCCCACCTTCTCAATGACTTGAAAAGGCCCAAAGTATTTGGCCGACAGCTTTAAGTTTCTTCTGATAGCTACAGTTTACTGCATATAAGGCTGCAACTTTAGGAAAATCCATTCTTCCACTTGCAAAGTCCTTTCTGTCCTGTGTTTATCAGCGTAGTGCTTCATCCAGTTCTGAGTCTTGGCCAAATTTTTCTTGATCTGTGATGTGATTTATAGTCTTTCCTGCACCATATCAGTTGCAGCAGGTATCACACTATCATGGAAGGGTCCCAAAGGAATATGAGTTGGCTTGTACCCGTATAATGCCTCAAAGGGGGAGAGTTGTAAACTGGTATGGAAGTTGGTGTTGTACCAGAACTCAGCTGTGGACAACCACACACTCCACTGCGTTGGATACTCACTACACATACATCTTAAGTACGTTTCCAGGCATTGGTTAACTTTCTCACTTTGCCCATCCGACTGTAGATGATAGGAGGAGCTATAATGAAGTTTAGTTCCCAACAACTTGAATATTTCCTGCCAGAACCCACTGAGAAACACCTTGTCTCGGTCTGAAATTATAACTTCAGGTAAACCATGAAGCTTATACACATTATCAAGGAAAATCATAGCTACATGTTGAGCTGAATAAGGGTGCGAAAGTCGCCTAAAATGGCTGAACTTAGTGAAACGATCTACTACCACGAATATAGTATCAAACCCATGAGATAAAGGTAACTATTCAATAAGATTCATGGTTATTTGGGACCATGCATGCTGAGGAACTGGGAGTGGTTGCAACAACTCGGGGTAAGGGACATTTTCGTACTTACTTCTTTGGCACACGTCGCAAGATCTCACAAACTGCATGACATCCTTCTTGATTCCCGGCCAGTGAAACAGTGCTTGCACCCTTTATAGACACCCTCCTTGGCCGGAGTGTCCCCCAATGACAGACGCGTGCAATGCCTTGATAAGGTTACCCCTGATCCCCTTAGAAGTCCTCATATACAATTTACCTTTGAACTTCAGCAGACCCTTGTCCAATTGACAGTCAGAGTTGGAGGAAGGATCCAGCAATAGCTGGGGAATAAGTTCTTGAGCCATATCGTCCCCTACATAGCTGTTTAATAGCTCCTGTATCCAAGCTAGTTGCGCTTATGAGATAGCATTCAGAGTACCGCACTTGGTTGAACATCTCTCACTGCTGTCCACTATCCTTTTAATAGATAATGCGTCCGCCACCCCATTGTCAATGCCTTTCTTAGATTGGATCTCGTAATCCAAGCCTAACAACTTGGTCAGTCATTTGTGCTGTAACGGATGTGTGAGTCTCTGTTTGAGTAAGTATTTGAGAGTCTGGTGATCTGTTCGGATGATGAAGCGATGACCAACTAGATAATGTTTCCATTTGGTGATGGCCAGCACCAACGCAAAGAGCTCCTTTTCATATACCGACATTCCCAGGTTTTGGTTTGCTAGAGCTTTGCTAAGGAATGCTATGGAATGCCCTTGTTGCATCAAAACTTCACCAATACCCACTCCACAAGCATCAGTCTCAATAACGAAAGGAATCTCAAAGTTTGGCATGCTCAGTACTGGAGCTGTCATTATGGCCTTCTTTAAATCTTCAAAGGCTATCTGAGTTCAAAATTCCATGCAAACCCTTCCTTCTTCAACAATTGTGTCAAAGGTTTACTGATTACCCCATATCCTTTAATGAATCTTCTGTAGTACCCTATTAATCCAAAAAATCCTTTCAATTCTTTCACCGTATTGGGGGAGGGCCAAGAGAGTATGCATTCTACCTTAGACTTGTCCATGCTCACTCCTTTTTCAAATATCACATGTCCCAAATATTTCACAGAAGTATGGCAAATGAACGCTTAGATCTTTTGCAGTATAGCTGGTTGTCTGCCAGGACCCCAAGGATGATTTGGAGATGTTGAATGTGTATTTCAAGGGTGGGGCTGTAGACTAGGATGTCATCAAAAAATACTAACACAAATTTCCTCATATATGGCTGAAAAATTAGATTCATCAGGGTCTGGAAGGTAGCTGGAGCATTCGTTAACCCAAATGACATGACTAAAAATTCGAAATGACCATGGTGTGTCTGGAAGGCAATTTTATGTGTATTAATTGCCTAACCCTTAGTTGATGGTAACCAACTCTAAGGTCCAGCTTAGACATGTATTTTGTCCCATGCAACTCATTCAGTAGTTTATCAATATTCGGTATGGGAAACTTGTCTTTAATAGTCAGCTCCTTTAGCTTCCGGTAATCCACACATAACCTCCATGAGTTGTCTTTCTTTTTGACCAGTAAAATAGGAGAGGCGAAGGGGCTACTACTGTAAGTAACAATACCACTAAAAAGCATCTCAGCCACTTGCTTCTCGATTTCGATTTTATGGGCGTGAGGGTACCTGTAAGGTTTTAGTTTGAAGGGTTCCGCTCCAGGTTTGAGAGTAATTTGGTGGTCTAGCTCTCTTTTTGGGGGTAGACCGGTTGGAGTAGCGAATACTTGCGAGTACTATTGCAATACCCTTTCTACTTGCTCAGGGATATCTCCTTGCTGGTGCTCCGGTGATTCGGCTTGTAAAGCAGCACAATTCCTGTGCTTCTCTTGTATGAAGGACCTGAGGTCATTACCTCTTACCAGCTCCATCACCGGTTGGTTGATAAGCCCCTGTAGGTGCAGCAAACTTCCACTACTACTGAGAGCAATGCTGAGACTATGAAAGTCAAACGTAACGGGACTAAATTGGTACATCCAATCCACCCCCAAAATAATATCCCAATTCCCTAAATCCATTACAATCAAGTCAAACTGGAACTGATAGTCCTTTATTAGCCATCTTACTCTTGGACAAACTGCACCACTAGTAATATCCGTACCATCTGCTAAGGTTACTGTGAAAAGAGTAACCTCTTGATGAGGTAAGTATAAGGATTTAACCAACCCAAAGTGAATGAAGCTGTTTGAAGCTCTAGTGTCCACCAAGATCTTTATTGGTAACCCTTCCATATTACCTAGCAGGATAATAGATTTCCTGCTCATGGCTCCATTTAGAGCATTCAGTGAAACCTCAGCTAGTTCCGCTACTTTTCCAGTGCTTTCGTCCTGTTCCCCTTCAGCATCCTCAAAGTTCGTTTCATTTCCGTCTTCCATATCAATGCAGTTCAAGCTCCCTGACTTACAACGATTACCTGTCCCAAACTTGTCACCACACCTATAGCACAGGTCATGTTTTGCGCCTATATTGTATTTCCTCTGCAGAAATTTTATAAAACTCTCTAGCCACATTTTCCTGCTTATTGGTGTTTGGAGTAATTGCAGGGATACGATAGGAACTGGGGGACTTCTGATTATTAGGCTGATTCTTAAACATTCCAAATCTGGACTCCAATATAGTTTTACTAGTACTTCGTGATTGTTTCGCCTGCACTTCTAAGGAACACTCTTGTAGTTCAGCTATCTCGAAGGCCTTTGATAGTGTTTGTGGCTTAAACATCTTCACCATTGGCCTAATTTCCTCTTTCAAGCCACTGATGAAACTGGAGACAAAATAAAGCTCGTCCAGTTTAGGATTTCTAAGTACCATGAGAGTCTTTAGCTCCTCGAATTTCTCTTCATATTCCTCTACTGTTCCTCTTTGTTGTAGTTTATTGAATTCCTCCACCACATCTCGAGAAGCCTTACTGGCAAATCTCTCACACAACAGGTCACTAAACTCTGTCCAGGAGAGGTTAGGTCTTTCGAGTTTCACTTCTTGAAACCAGTTATCGGCCTTCCCCTCCAAGAACATTTCTACCATTTCTACTTTTTGATTATTAGGAATTTGGTAGTTCAGGAAGTATTTCTGGCATTTTCCAAGCCACTCCCTAGGGTTACCAGCAGCAAACATAGGCATTTCCAATTTTGGCAAAAATAGGGTTGAAATGCTTACCCCTGATCTCTGGTGGAGCTAAGTGAACACCATTCTGATTTCCGAGCTTCATATGCGGAGGTGGAGTTGGCAACAGCGGTTCTGAGATCCTCGATTCCGGTTCTGAGCAGCCTTTTTCCTTCATCATCACATTCAGCAAGCTATTGAACTTCTGCTCAATCGAGTCGAACCTCTAATTCAAGTTTCCTACCAGTGCTTCCAATCGCGAGCTTTTCTGCTCTAGTTCCTCCTAAAACCTCTGTTGGCAAGCGGCCTGCATATCGGCCATCGATTCCACCACCTCCTGTAAGCAACCATCTTACTTCTTGAGCTGATCTTCCAAAGACCGATACCTAGTGTTCTCCGCCATTTCAAGTATCTAATGCAGCCAAGGATCGGCTGCTCTGATACCAGATGTCAGGGTCCTGGGTTTGTGCTTGCGAGCTACAGAGAAGGAGAGTGAGCTGAGGAAGATTATTTTAGGGAAACAGAATGAGAGAGATGCAGGAGAGAGGATAGACAAAAGCAAGAGGGGGGAATTAATGAATCTGTATTTCTTTCCGTATTGATTCTGTTACAAGCTTGCTATTTATAACGTGACTAATAGGAGGAAACTAATCCAACGTGAACTAACAGAATGAACTAATCTAACTAACTGCCAGAATTATTCCAATGGCACCGTTTTGGTCAGAGCCTTATTCTGGCTTACTTCTGAAACGCACACTCTAATGAATAAAACGACAGATTCCATCTAGGTCCCTGACAGAATATTTGTAATTTTGTACGTACATGGACTCGGTTCACTATTGGCCTCTATGTTTTCAGAACCGGACCGGATAGCGACTCGGCCGAGGTCAGGGGTCAGGGGTCAATGGGTTCGACCGGGGGTCGATAGGGGTCGAATCGGATGACGTCATAAATAAAAATTATTTAAAAATTAAAATATTATATATATAATATCTAATAATATATTGATATTAATAAAGGTATATTCATATATATTTGATGTTTCAAATATATTTAACAAGAAAATACAAAGAAATTAGAACAATCAAGTAGCAATTTATATTATTTAATAAATATTAACAAGTTTAGAATTAAAATTATGAATTTAATTGAAAAATAACATCAAATTTTAGGACAACATTTATAAAGTATCAAATATTTGAGGTATATCAATAAGTTTTAACAATTTAGGGGGCCAAAACATAATATTAAAAAGTTTGAATTTTTTTTAAAAAAAATTACTGTTGAACCGGAAAAACCGATTTTTTCCCGGTCAAACCCGGTCAAATCCGGTTTTTGACCGGCTTTGACCGAGTCTTAAATTTTCGGTTTTTTAATGTGACTCGGACCGACTACCTGGCCGGTTCCCGGTTCGACCGGCCGGTCCGGTCCGAGTTTGAAAACAGAGATTGGCCTTAAAACCGTGTGTGTTTTTCTCGTTGGCGTTAACCTCTAAGTAAACTTTAGGCGCCTTCTTGATCTTGTTTCAGATTCGGACATGTGATTCATTACCAAACCCACCGCTCCCACAAACGCTCGTGACGGATGGTCAATTAATGACAGGATTTAATACTGCCGTGGTCAGAGGTGACGCGACAAATAGTCCAAAATTCTGGTCTTCTTGCCTTCCTGTAAGTGTAATCAATCTGTGAACGCCGCCATTCCCCTCCACGCAGTATCCCAGAATAGTAGTAGTATATCGCTTGAGTTTCCTCTATTACCATTTTACCCCTTTGCTGCTCCGTGTCCTTGTCCTCTAAAACACAACCAGACTCTACATATTATCGACTTTCAGCGCATCTACATCTACTTAGCCTTGTGTTCTTCCATCAAGTTAAAGATTTTGAGGAATGATAGCAAGATTAGGATTATTTTAGATAGACAGATATGAGGATAGGCAGACATGTTAAAAACTTTTTTCTAGATTAGGGGCATATCTTGTAATAAGAAGCTGTGCCCTGTGGGGAGAATAGGCATCCAGGAATTTATCTCTCTCTCTCTCTTTTTTTGGGGGTCCAAGAAGGAGGAAGAATATTCACCGCTACAAATTTCAAACTAGCAAAGGCAAATCCATTTTTGTCTCTCTGCCTCAGAGTCCAGAGGGTGACTCAGTTTTGTTCTCTGTGTGTGTTCTGTTTGAGCCTTTTACAAGGCATTCAAAGAAAGGAAGAAAAATGCAGAGAGAACATGAAGAACAAGCAATCCTGAGTGCACCATTGGTTGACACCTCTGAAAAAGTGGGGTGGAAGGGAGGATTGTGTGATAAAGAAAATAGTTTTAACAAGAAAGAAATTGTCGAAGAAGTTAAGAAACAGATATGGCTAGCGGGGCCTCTCATCTGTGTCAGCCTTTTACAATTCAGTTTACAGATTATTTCTGTGATGTTTGTGGGACATCTTGGAGAATTAGCTCTATCTGCTGCTTCGATGGCCACATCTTTTGCATCCGTCACCGGTTTCAGCTTACTGGTCAGTTGGCAATTCACTCATGATCGTCATTACTTAATTCACTGATGAATCTTAAGACTGTTTGTAGTTTTCTTCATTGAAGATGCACATGCTTTCGAGAGCAGGATGTTAAATATAGTTCTTTAAGATTGTATAGAGCAAACTTGAGAATTTCATTAATGTCTAACTTGATTTTGACCGACTTGTCTTGATACATTTAATCTTTTGCTCGTTCGCTGCGAGTTAAGACTGGATTTTCGATGCTTAAAATGATTTTCGAGAATCTATACGTTGTGCTATTGGCTTCTTATATAATTGCAACTATGCTGTAAAACCTTTGCGTAGTTAATCTGATGTGTTCTTGGTAATCTGGCCCTGTGGTTTAACTTTGATGATTTTCCATCTAAGGTGATGGTGCAATGCTTCAGTGCTTTCTTGAAGTTGGATATGAACTTCTAAGTATAGATTTCTTCTGAAGTAATTTTGCTTCTCTGACTGCTTCCCTTTTGAACAGATGGGAATGTCAAGTGCATTGGATACATTTTGTGGTCAATCATATGGGGCAAAGCAATACCATATGCTGGGTATCCATATGCAGAGAGCTATGATAGTTGTGTTACTCGTAAGCATACCTCTTGCAGTGGTCTGGGGAAACACTGGTCACATATTAAAGTTTTTAGGCCAGGATCCTCAAATATCAGACCAAGCTGGGGTATTTGCCAAGTTCATAATCCCAAGCCTTTTTGGGTATGGCCTTCTTCAGTGTCATGTGAGATTTTTACAAAGCCAGAACATTGTCTTCCCAATGATGTTAACTTCTGGAATCACAACATTATTGCACGTCCTTGTCTGTTGGCTTCTGGTTTTTAAGTCTGACCTTGGCTTCAAAGGAGCTGCTTTGGCGAATGGCATCTCTTATTGGATCAACCTTCTTCTGCTTGCATTTTATGTCAAATTCTCTACTTCATGTAAGAAAACGTGGACTGGATTTTCGAAGGAAGCCCTGCATAATATTCCCAATTTCCTTAAACTTGGAATCCCTTCAACTATCATGATCTGGTAAACTTTTTACACTTTCAAGTTTCACAGTCGCATCTCATGAGAATCAGCAAATCCTATTCCATTTGTACGTCCACTAGTATCTTCATTATATAAGTTAATATTGACACAGTTCACGTCTTTAATTTTCAACAGTTTGGAGAACTGGTCATTTGAGATGACAGTTCTGCTTTCTGGCCTTCTTCCTAATCCACAGTTGGAAACCTCAGTGCTCTCCGTCTGGTAAGAAATACTCATGCCCACCCCCATACCCCGTTATATAAAATCTCTTGTCTCTCATTGACAGGAAATTGAATCAATTTCCTGATAATATGCATGCGAATTGTGACCACTTACTGATTGAACTTTTGATTTTCAGCCTTAATACAGCTGCAACTGTTTGGATGATTCCTTTTGGACTTAGTTGTGCTGTGAGGTCAGTTAAAGACACGACTAAAACATATAATTTTTGTTCATACGGGTAAAATCATCCTCACATGTTTATTGTGTTGTTCTATCAGGGTTCACTTGTTCATAAGTTGAGGATCCCTTTCCAACATGACCAAGTTATCGTACCTCCTTAATAGTCCATTTTTAACCTGCTGAGTTTTTTATGCAGTACACGGGTGTCAAATGAACTGGGGGCTGGTCATCCAAGAACTGCACGTTTGGCAGTGTGTGTCGTCTTTTTCATGGCCATAACAGTGGGCATTCTGGTTGGATTAGTCCTCATCTTGATACGTAACGGTTTGGGATATGCTTTTAGCAATGAGAAAGAAGTGGTAAACTATGTAGCAAGGATGGTGCCATTACTTGCAACATCAAATATATTAGATGGGCTCCAGTGTGTTCTCTCTGGTAAACTACTGATACTTCACTCCTTATCATTACCACAAACTATCCATGGAAGATAATGCACTGTGTAGCCAGTAAAAATTATAGTACAGTAACCCATGCACAACCCCTTCTATAGTGCACTTCCATGCAAAAATTAAAAATACAAGCTGTTCAACCACAAAATGTGTGTCTGTTGAATTTTTGGGGTCATCAAATTTACGAAGGGACTTTTTATACATCATAAACTCAGCAGAAGGGAGCTTAGAATTTAGAAAGAGAACATTAACTAGCTAATCGTGCTTAGAAATATAAGTTTACGTGGTTATTGTTCAGGTACTGTTAGAGGATGCGGCTGGCAAAAGATTGGTGCATTCATTAATCTTGGATCATATTACCTTGTGGGCATTCCTGCTGCTGTCTTAATAGCGTTTGTTCTCCACATCGGAGGACAGGTAAATGCTTGCAAAATTTCCCTTTCAAGTTCCAATTTATCTCCAATTCTGTATCCTTGCTCACTACCCTTGTGTAAATTGATGTCTTAGGGCCTCTGGTTGGGGATAATATGTGCACTGATTGTCCAAGTACTGTGTCTTTTCATCATTACCTGGCGCACTAACTGGGCAAAAGAAGTAAGCATTCTATCCTTTTATTCGAATTCCTCTAAGCTCTTAAATTCTGAGAAGAAATTGGAATTCTTCTGCATGTTCTTTATCTGCTTATGCAGTTGTTTTATTTATAAACTTGCTTTATGCCTAGGCAAAGAAGGCCTTGGAAAGAGTTCACGATTCTATAATCCCTGTAGAGACTGTCTCCTGAAGCTTCAGGCTTTGTTCTGTTATAGCAGCCGCACCACTTCTTGAGCAATATTGGTTAATGCAAAGGTCAAGATTTTGGAAGCATGCATCCTAGAAACAATGACAAACCAAAAGGCAAGCTCACAAGGCCCTCAACTGAAACTCTCAGGTTTCTAGTTCAGCTCTGCACCACAGGCTTGCAGAGGCAGAACTAAATGGTCTCGTAGTTTATTGATCATGGTTGAAAATCCTCCTTCCTTCAAGAAAGAATTACAAAATAACAGAAAGTTGTGCTCAGCCATATTATGCCACCATCGGTGGTGGTATCTTTAGCAGAAAATTTCTGAAGCATTCTTCAGTGGAGTGCTGGTAGTATAAAGTAATCCGATAAAAAGGGATCCTATTCTCCATATACAGCCTCTGTTTTTTATATTCTGCATTTCCAATCTCTTTTAAAAACTGTTGATATGTTTGATTAGTTTCATTGCATTGCAAGCAAATCTCTTGGCATACCTGCATAATGGATTATGGGCATAATTTAAAGAGACTTTATTTTTTTTCGGCATCAATTTACTCCATTTGCAAGGTAATTCGGATTCATATCCATCAGCATTCTATAAAAATTTGCAACAAAGAGATAGCAATTATCTTGCACAAACTCAAAGGCAACGTGAAAGGCCATGATCCATATCAGGTTGCTTGTGCGCTTAATAGGTTCTTTCAGCTTTTGAAGATAACCAATTATTAATGGATAGGAAGGAAAATTCCTCCAGCAGACACAAGTTTTAATATGTAAAGAACTTGCTTGAAGTTAAGTTGAGGGAACAACAACATGAACGGAGTCAATGTTATATATTAAAAAAAAATTTGAGGATATACTGGAAACTCTTGTTAGTTTGATTATCAGACTGGAAGGTGCATGCAGCTTTTATTGTGCATATATCAGTCATTCTTGCTTGATGAATGGTAAACCATCCAAGTCTCAAATATATTGGTTGGGTTCTAGAAGATCAAAGTAAACAGTTTGCCCGTCTCATTCACAAAACCATCATCTCCATTCACATCGAACAAACCTGTTGCAGTAAATAAATTAACGAAATCACGTTTTGCCATGGATATCTTCCTGTTTCACATGGACTACATAAACTCATTCCATCAGCAAAAATCTTTTCTCGTTACATGTGTCAGAAACATTTTTTTTCTTTTTTTTCTTTGTTGGGGGGGTTTGGTTTTCCAAAAATGAGCTGTTCAAACACACTCTGTATCATGCAGTCATCGATATCACTATAATAACCAGCTAGTCAAAAAAATCTTTTTTTTTCCCCTTATGGTGGATAAGTATCCAAGTTCATCAATGAATCAGTCGATCAATCTTCTTCTTCTGGCTGGAACTCAAGATCTAGTTTCCTCTTCAAGTGTGTTCTGTCGGCACTGCAGAAGAAGAGAAAAATATTAGGTGCATCTTTGCCTGATGATCTTATGAATAAGAAATTAAATTATACTTGGAACGAGCACTTTCTATAGCAAAAATGCAACTGAAAATTTCCACCATCTCAACCACAGAAATACAACTTTGTTCAATCCAATTAACTGAATCTTATAGATCTATTTTGGTAACTAATACCATGAAATGATTGGACACCAAACAGCGTTTGACAAGAAAGTCATGGAAGTCTAAGAACTAATACACAGCAAGGAAACATCTAATTTGCAAAATACTTGAAGGTTTATCTAAGTGTAATAGTTTTTCCCCCCATTGAAATATTTGCTGTCTAAGCAGAAATACCCTGCACAATTACTTGTTCAAAAGAAATTGCAGCATATTACCACCATTTTGAACAGATAGCAAAAATGAACAAAACCTGCATAAAATGACATAGAAAATTCCTTGCAGGGCATTATTACCTGTTAATTGTTGGTCTACTAGGAGGTCTCGTCCCAAGTATGGAGAAATCTAATGACATTGCTACATGCTCATTCCTTTCATCAGCTGATGGTCTAGCTTCATATTCGTGGTCATCCATCCTGTCAGCTAAATGGGTGTTCCCTTCAAATCCTTCACGATTTGGCATAACCCTCCTTGACTTTCTTGGAGGGGACAAGACTGTCGGACCTTCAAGTGGATTGAAGTCTGAACCCTTAGAAGTGACGGATTCCTTTTTTGGGGGAGGTCTTGGCAGCAAAGCTGGTTCTGTAGGAGGGATCCCAGATGAGAAGTACCTAGAAGTAGAAAATGTCAATACTGTAATCATGAACTATAATATATATCTATCATAATGAAAGTACCTATGCTCTAATGCCTGTTGTGCTGAAATTCTGGCTTTTGGGTCATAATTGAACATCTTTGATAAAAGGTCCAAAGCATCATCGCCGGCCATTGGAAAAAGTGTACGAAGAGGCTGTCCTGGAACATATTGGTATTCCACATAATCAGGCAAATAAATCATATCTGGCCACTGTGAGGGCTTTGGAGTACCAAAAGCCGCGAAGATCTTTCCCAGTTGATCAATATCGCTGTTCCCCTATACAAATTCATATGTAACCACAAGGTAAGAAAGTCCAAGTACCAACACATCACTGTAACCACAAGGCAAGAAGATATTTCTCATAGATCTATATCACTGTTCCCCTAAACAAATTGAGATGTAACAACAAGGTAAGAAAGTTTAAGTACCAAGATAAAGGCCAAATCAGTAGAAGAGAAATAATTACAAGAAGCATGGAAATTCCACTTTACACGTTTATCTTCTTCTTATTCATAGATTTATACCATTCCATAGAGCGCCTCTGGGACTTTCATTTTGACTCTTAAACAAATGGAATCAAACTAATCCAGACTTCTAGAGATTGAAGAAAGTAAAACTACTTCTCTCCAAATAAAGGTTTTAATTTCATTGGATGCAGCCTTTTTCCTAAAAGGAGGTTTAAGACAAGCGGTAAGACTTAGTTCTTTTGATTTAGGAATATATAATTACTAAATTCCCTAGAACTCAAAAGATATGAAAGCTACAAATCAATTAGTAAATATATAGAACCATGGCTGCAATCAGTTAACAGGAATATGGCAAGGTAGTGTGCAATGTGTCAAAACTGCTCGTTTCCTTCTTTCAGTAGACACTGAAGCCATAGTATTCTTTTGGTTAGTTCTGCTATGCAATTAACTTATACTTTTAGAGGGCCTTTCTTTAAGTTATCTTGATTCACACTGCATCTATACACTAATTAATATTTGCTTACTTTCTTCAGGACCAAAAAAGCAATAAACAAGTTTTAAAATTGATCAGGAGAAGGTATTTTTAAAGAGAGAAGAGCAACTACATTCACATCTTAGAAGGACCAAAAACAACCACTTCACCGCCCCAATCTTCGTAACAAAAAGACCGAATTACCTGCAGAAATGGTCGACGTAGTAGGAGCTCAGCAAATATACAAGCAGCAGCCCAGATATCAACACTGGGACCATATTGCTTTGCACCAAACAAAAGCTCTGGTGCTCTGTACCAACGGGCAAATACCTACTTGCACATATACAAGGTCGCCAAAAATTTAGTATCTCTTTAAGTCATACAAAAGGACAAACCAAAAATCAACTAACAAATCATGTCATAGGGACTTATTTACACCATCCAAAATTACTGTGCAGGTTAAAATTTAGCCATCTAGCTCTCCCTTAAACATAATTTACTAGAAAAGAAAGCATTAGATTCACGTCTAGGAAACAGAAACAAATTGATTGTCTAAGAGTACATAACTAAGAGCAGGATCAAGTACTAACTCAAGACTCAGCATTCAGTATCAATGTCTAGAAGTTTAAGGTGCTCAACTTATACTCATATGTACGCTCAAAGTAACGAATAAAAACATACCTGATGAGTGAATCTCCTGTCTGGACTGCCAAAGATCCGTGCCAATCCAAAGTCCGCAAGTTTAAGCTGCCCACGCGGTCCAATCAACAAATTGTTCGGTTTCATATCCCTGCAGCAAACAGATAAAACTTTTATTATAATCTGTCTTAAGCCCCAGTAATTTATTCCTATACATCACTAGTAACTTCAAAATGTAAAATGTACCTATGTAATACCCATTTTTTATGGCAAAACGCAAGCCCTTTCAGTGTCATCTGAAGATATGACTTGATATCAGCTGGTGAAAGCACTATATTTCTATCTCGAATAACCGCCTCAAGATCAGTCTCCATAAACTCAAACACAAGATGTAAATTCCCCTTATGGGGAAAAGCATCAATCAACTCAATAATATTCGGGTCCTTGAGCTCTTTCAACAACTTAATTTCTCTCAACGCTGTAAAATTTACTCCTTCTTTCTGCTTCCCTATCCGAATTTTCTTAATTGCCACTGTCTGCCCTGTCTGCACCATCACCACCAAAGATTCAAACTTCAATTCTACGGAAAATCAAGAAAATCCAAAACCTCAAACCATTTTCAAAAATCGAAAACCCATCAAAATTTTCAACTTTTTATTATCATTACCAAATCTCACCAACTGGGTCCATAGAAGACATAACTAAACAAAACCCAGTTCAAGACTCGAGAATAACATGTTGAAGAAATGAAAAAAACAAAAACAAACCCTAAAAATTTTTCAAACAGAAATGTAAGTAGGCACCTACCTTAGTGTCGATGGCTTTGTAAACGACACCGTATGTACCTTCTCCGAGGACTTCCCGTTTGAGGTAACGATCGGCTACTTTTTTAGTATCAACTTCAGACATTTTTAATCAAATTTCTCAGGAGGATGTGCTTGGAAGTCTGTCTTCAATGGAGAGTAGTTTATGGAGTATTAACGTTCATTTTTTGGAACCCAGAAAATTTTTTAAAAAAATTAATGAAATAAAGATGCCTAGATTATTGGATTAAATTCATTAAAGTTAGAGTTGAGGTGAATATATGATAGAGAGTAAAAGAGTCTACAGACTATTGAGTAAGGAGAGAGAGAGAGGGTGACAGGCGGGCAAGGCAGTGTTTGGTTGGGTTTTTTCTGTTTACAATTTTAATTCCTCTTTTTAGGGATATTGCATTGAAGCCTAGTTATTTGTTCCAAACTTGTATATACCTCCCTCTCTAATTTGGGTGCTTTTTGATAGGATTTTTTGATGTTTGTGTGGATGATTATTGATATTAGTCCAACAAGGGATGAAAAGGATTTTCTTGTAAGATAAGGTGGGAGATTTGCACTTGACTGCATTAATATTCATTGATAAGAAACATAAAAAATTTTCAAAAAGTAAAAGTCTAATATTGGTTTTTTTTCCTCTCTAATTTCAATCCAAGTGCTGCAAATAGGCTCTACCTTTAGTTTATATAAATAGCACCACAGAAATTGAAAGTAACATAAAGAACTTAAATAATGTAGACTACCATTCTTTCTAGTTGTCCATTTAAATCCAAGCGCTATAACAGATTCTTCCTTCATAGATAGCAACAAAGAAACCAAGAAATACGGCATTTGTTTGATCATATTCCAACTTACCGATTTCCTGTACTATCTTATGAGGAATCGAAGACAATCCCCACCCTACATTGATATTGAGCATTCATAATCACCCATTCAAGCATTGCTAAACAGTATAAACTCCAAGAGTCTCTATGTTTCATCTCATCATTAGCAAACATATTACAGTCAAATAGTAATTAGAACATAACATAGTTGCCTGCAATACACTTCTAATGTATCAGCATTATTAATATAACAAATGTTTTTGGTTCCCAAGTTTGTGACTGAAAAGGTCCCCCATGATTCAGCAAACCACCAGCTCAACTGCTGGAGGTAAAGTTTTTCGAAACCTTGCAACAAGCTTCCTGGACGAGCGATCTTCTTTTTGTTTTTCAGAATGAAACTGTAAACCATTCTCTTGAGGTTCACAGCAATCTGAAGCAAGCGGGTGGCAAGGTTAAGTTCGTTTGCACAGCCATGAAATCCAATCAACTCCACCACTTCAAGGTGTTGATGAGCATATCTATTAGCTTCAGACCTTCTCGTATGATATGGATGTACCCCAATGAGTGACTGCCAACATAAAGAAATATAATTTTAACTATGTACTTGTAACTGCAAGCTCCAGGAAGTTCACAATAGTAACTCTTTCCCTACCTGATGCAGAGTGAAAGGCCACTGCAGGAAGTACTGCAGAAGGAAAAGAATAGTCATATTATGCTACTTAAGTGGATAATAAATTGTGAAGGGTTATGCAGGAAATGTGTAATTACCACAAAGCAAACCAACAGCTCAAATAAGTGGAAAAGCAAAAAGAATAGCTGAAAAGGAGCATATTTTACAACCATACTGTGAAATAGACCTGTCAGCTTTAACCCACCATTAACCCTAGAAGCATCATAATAACATGACCTGAACATTCATGTACACTCATTAACTAACAACCATATTTGAAGAGAGAGAAAAGTAAAAATGCAAAAAAAAAAAAAAGGATAAACATTCGAACATGCCTGTAAAGAAAGAAAACAACCAAGCAGAAAACCTTCAAGACAATGTTGTATAGCCAAAAGTATGATATTGAGAGGGAAAATCCTTGAATAGCTATGAAATAGTGCTCAATCACACCTTAGTAGGCTTAGAAATTAATAACCAGTCAAAGAACTGATGAATTATCTTATATGTCTTAGCCAGCCAAAGTTGGGGTAGAAGAAAATGGGAAATAATGGCACTAATACAAAATCCAGGGATAATCATACGGCTACAATTCATAGCTCTCCTGATAGTAAAGCCACAAAATGCATGCATTAAAGATGTTATATTTTGGGAACATATATTCACTGGCGAAAGCACATGAGGTATTACTAATTAATAATAAATCCAGGGATAATCCTATTGCTAGAATTCATAGCTTTACTAATAGCAAAGCCACGAAATGCGTGCATTATGTCATTCCAACTTAAATGAAGCAATATATCACTTATTAACCAGAATTTGAAATGTTAAAATCCCATACAAAATTGGTCTTGTTATTGTCCATTCCCAGCACTATGAAGATCAGATATGACAAATGTTAATTGGTCTTGTTATTGTACAGTCCTTTTGTCCATCCAACATAGATATGACAACAGTTTGTGGAATAACAAATGTTAAATTCGGACCTCTAATTGCTTTCAGTTTCTATGGATAACAGGGGAGAATTTCCAGATTACTGGTTTATTTCACCAAGTAAATTGAGTTGACACTAAAATGAAGTTCTGCCATTTGGAAGAAGGAAATGTGAGATGATTAGCAAGGTAATACAGAAAATTATTTCAAATAGAATCCAAGGTAAACTGTCTGATCGCTGTAACTTCGAAAAGATCAAAATATGCTTGGTATTAATAAATGCCCAATTTTTTTTTTATAATATTTTATAGCATTTACAAAGACCACGATTATCATGAAAAATTAAAGTCCTTAAACAAATCAACCATTTGAATCAAATTCATACAGGCATTTATATTAGGTAAATGTTAAAGAAGTATAGTTGGAAACAAATGGCAAAACCATGACATGATAAACACGTATTAGTAGTGAGATCTATCACGGAAATCTCATAACATGATATCACAACAAGAATACATAAGACAGTATATGAGGAGAACCCAACATAACAACAGAATGAAGTACAATGATGCCCAATAGACTTGAAATACAACAGTGATATGTGATTCCTAGGTTTATCAGGGTTTGTACTTGGTGCTATCCACCTTTGCAAAATGCATGACCAATATGATGAAGAATATGATTATACAGGGAAAAGTCCTAAATCCAAGCATGAATTTTTCAGAGTCAAACCTACATGTTTTATAAGCAGCAAAGGAGACCCACTAACCTTTATCCTGAATGTAGACAAGAAAGGACAGGCCTTTATACAAGTTGTATAAGGCAGAAGGCTTTGTGAACCAGAAAGCCTCACTTTCAGTTCCAAATGCTTGAGATTAATCATTTCTCAGAAAACGTTTGGAAAGCTGGAAATTCTCAAATTAACCTGCCCAGATTAGGGACAGCAAAGAGAAATGATCAAACACATGAACAAGCAATGGAATGGAAAAAACCATAAGAAATTAAACAAAGACAAGTACATGTTCGTCATTAACTTACCTCAAAAGAGACATCGAAGGTAAGAGTTTCCAGTTGAGAAATATAAACCAAATGCTTTGCAGATCCAAAAACAAATGATTCACCAAATGATCCTCCGATTGTTGCTTCCAAAAGGCAATGAGGACCACTTCCGAAAGGAACATCTATATTGGGTCCTAAATAAGTAAACAACTCAAGATTCGCTGCAGATATCTCCAGAGATTTCAGGTTAAACCAGTTTATCATCTCAAAATACCTCAAATGAAGGCCGTGAACTTTTAGATTCACTAGTTCATATGATTCTTCTAGAGATATACTTTCAAGTGATGTACAGTTGGAGAAGATACAGTCCAGAACCTCTTCAGAGATATCAACATACCAAACAAAGGGCTCTTAGACAACCAAAGCCCCTTAAATGATGAACCCCGAGTTTTACCCCCCTCAGATGATGCTGGCACTGGAGGAATTTCATAACACCTGCTGCTAACAAAAGTTTGAATTCCTCAAGATTGGGAAAACTATATCTTTTCAATGGACGGAATACGAAGCAGTTCTTGAAGTCCAATTCAAGTTTTTGAATCCAGGTAAGCAACTATCCTGAATTCGTTAAGATATGGGCCGCGATGTAAAGCTGTGACATTAGTAACCAAACACAACCTTCCAAATGAATGATGCAGAAGTATGTCCATAACCGTACTAACGCCCATTTTATCAACCATCACCTTGACCTCCTCAGAAAAATCAAAGCTCCAACACCCAGTAGTGTGCATCCACAAATATCTCCATCTGCGAGAAAGGATACTAGTTGCTGCCGCTTCTTCAACTGTCAAAAGTGATAAGATGGTAATGAGGATATCATCCGGCAACCGGTCAATGTTGGAATGGACTCTGTTCAGCACAGAATTCTCCTGCACAACAGCGGTTGAAGTGTTCCCAGCTTCCATTTCGTTCTTGATGGAACGCTATCTCTTTTTCGAGTGCCAGTGTGGTTAATACCCTTCCCTCTCTTCCAAACCCTAAGGTCCTCTGCATGAAACTGATGAAATGTTGTTGGTTTAGGATGATAGTAAATCCTAAGCAGAAAACATAGTTTACTAAATTACTATTATCCCTTAAAATATCCTGTACATTTGATAATATATGGAGTTGGACATTAACAAACAAACAACCATAAAATATGAAAAGGAAAAGAGATGTGGAGATTGAGGAGCAATTGGACAAAAATGAAAATAGTTTCAAACTTGCACTTTTCCTAAGTGCCTATCATCAAATAACCTTCTTGCAATAGGTATCATTGGCTAACAAAAGCAGGTATGCTGTTTTCCATGAGTGAGACCATGGAGCGTCAGGAACTGAAGATCATTGCAAATATTCAATTGCACATGGAGCTTATATGTAATAAAGATCCATAATCAGAATGCTCGGGAAGCTAATGTGGTAAGGGTTCTCCTCAATATCAGCACAGTAGAAATAAGATTAGCTAAATTTCCATTCCAATATATTCCAACAAGAAATATATGATACAGTGGCATGCACAATGGTCTTCAAAGGAAGCAAGGAAATACCATAAATTTCCTCACTAATTCCATAGCTTAATTTGCTGTATGTCAAGAACACATTCAATATGAGAATACAAAACAAAAATAATGTAGCACCTATGGAAATTACAAATAAATTTTCTTATAAAAAAAAGAAAGGACTACAAATCTAAACAGAAAAAGATAAGGCACAATAACAGTTCAATTATCCCATAAACAACTCCACAGGAATTACTACGCCAATACTGTTTCAACCAGCCTATTAAAGCAAGCAAAAGTTCAAGAAAAGGAAAAAAAGAAAGGACAGCATCGGGTGTACAAGTAAATGGAGAGAGTGTGAAGTGAAGAGGGATGCAGAGGCAGACTGGGTGGTGGTCAAGAAAAGGAAAAAAAGAAAGGACAGCATCGGATGTACAGGTAAATGGAAAGAGTGTGAAGTGAAGAAGGATGCAGAGGCAGACTGGGTGGTGGCTGCGAGGGACTAAGGATAGTGCCAAATCTAGATGACAACAAGGAGGAAATAGAGATGAGAATAAATCTAAAAGGAATAGTTAATAGTTTAAAGTTGAAATAGGAACTTTGGTGTGTTTTGTTCAAAGATGCAGGCATTAATTTAGTTCATCCAATTTTCCCTAGTTTGACCAACTAACTGCAGTAATTAATGGCAATTACTTGGACGGGACAGCCAATGGGTTCCTGGCTAACTTGGCACAAGGCAACAAGCAGGTTGGATCATTAGGAGTTCTGAACAATTTCAAGAGCATTACATAGGTCTGGATTGAAAATGAAAATCGACAGGGCTGAAATGTGAAAACCATGCCCAGATCATATATTGCCCACACCATGCAAGAAAATTGATATCATGGCATATATTCGCTCACATTTAACCCAATGCGGTAGCAAATGCCCAAACATACTCATGTATAAACTACATAAATATGTTAAACTTATGCTTACATATCACGAGATGCGCCAATTTGCAACATTTAACTCCATTACAAGACAACTGGAAGGGGGATTGAACTGAAGATCGACAGGACTGAAATGTGAAAACCATGCCCAGATCATATATTGCCCACACCATGCAAGAAAATTGATATCATGGCATATATTTGCTCACATTTAACCCAATGAGGTAGCAAATGCCCAAACATACTCCTTTATAAACTACATAAATATGTTAAACATATGCTTACATATCACGAGATGCACCAATTTGCAACATTTAACTCCATTAAAAGACAACTGGAAGGGGGCTAAAACTTTCCAGTCAACTGAAGTCTTTGATGGCATTCTGTCGATAACTTTCAAGTTCCTCTATTTTGCATCAGCAAATTTGATGGTACTCAGTCATGTATCTTCATTGTACCAGACATGACCAGAAAATTGACAAAATTTAGTGGTCTCATGGAAAAGATATTCTAGAAAAATTTCAGATCAATTCTATATCCAAAGCTAATCTCAAAGGAAGGCAAGAATAACATGAAATGGAAAGAAGAAGGAGCCTAGCCTTTTCAAGGATGAACTGATTTAGACTACATAGGCTGTAGGCTTTTCTTTATCTGATTTTAATTAACTAGTTTACATCACAAAAAACATTAGGAGATGCCATAACATGATAATCAGCACTCTCTCAAACAATATTGAAGAAGTTGGTAGTCTCTTCAATTATTGCGTTAGATAAATTAAATGCTAGTTGACAGTTTCATATGTTTCCTCAAGCTACAACATTTGCACAACTACTTTACTTCACTGCTGTATGTGATGCATAATATGTGCCATATGAACATGCCTTTCAGAGTTTAAGGGACAGAAAAATGTTGGCCAAAGATACGCTAATAATCAAAATTTGTGTGCTTATGTTTTGGAGAAATTCCTATTGCCACCTAGGTTTTATCAGCGATAAGTTGACGACAGATAAGACATGAATGACAAACCAGACCTGTGAACTTCCATCCTTGCTTAAGAGCAACAGTTATAGTTATTAATGGCCAAAGACAAGCCGGGATCTGAAGTTTGATAGGAAATCTGATTGGCATTAAATATTAACAGCCACCCTTAAATCTGTTAAAGGACTTGAATGGAAGATAGACACAGCACACATGCCAAAATTGACTTTTTCTTTCTTTCCTTTCACAGCCTCCACAAAAATTTCATCTAAGCCTAAAATGTGGATGCTCCATGGATCAATTCTACTTATTTTAGCGTGTAAACACCACAGGTTGATGCTACTACCACCAGTTGACAGGGAAATAACTACAATTCCAAGGTCATTGCCTGTGCACAAACCGCTTGCAGCCATCCTCCAGTGTAAGGGGACTTGGATTAGTGTTGCAAACATTCATTTCAAGAACAGTTCAACCTACTGAATAGATAACCCAAAAAAAGAAAAAAATATATGTACGAAAATAACCCAAATGGGCATGATGATCTCTTCCTTCACATGTAAAGGTCTACTGCAATTTTGTGTAAACAAAACCAAAAGCTAAAACAGCTTAACAGCTTCAGCTTTTTCGTATTCACGAAATATTTCTGTAGTCCATTAGCTTAACAAACACTAAGAACTCTTTCTAGGCTCTGGGAAGCATAATTTGTGTTTTAAACTCAAATTTGGCTAAAAATTCAATCTTTTTTTATAACTTCTTTGATTGCAATAGGCCAACGTAAACATGACAATCCAAAGCAGACTAAGGTGAATAATCATCGAACCGTAACTAAAAAGGAAACAAAATCTTGCTCTAGGATTTATAGACATTCCCAGAAGAATGCAACTTTAATCTCAACTAAAACAATTAAGAGTCTATCTTTTCTACTGCAGGAACAACTCACACACAATATTACACACCGGAAGCATGCTTAACCGTCGAAATGAACAACATGGGAACATAACTAGTACAATGTTACCTTAATCTGCAGAGGAATTCCACACCTTATAAAACGATAGACCCACTGTTCCCCTACCCCATGATACAAATCACGCTTTTCATCAAAAGGGAAATTTGGGGATTGAGGAGAATGCACTTCCATGGACTTTGGATTTATGGGAAAGGAAGCATAACAGTCGTAGACAGAATTCTGCATTTGCCGCGTTTAATACTCCGTAGCTGTTCTCCAACATGATGGAAGAGGAGGAGGAGCAAGAGAACCAGACAGAACGGCCTCGAAACGGCGGCGTTTAGTCATACTCAAACATTAAGATAATGGACTGCAAACGCCCTAGTCTAACTCGGCCCAATTTGATCAATGTTGAACTTACCTTGATAATCTTAATGATCCCAAGGCTTTCGTTTTCCATTTTTTTTTAAATATTTTTTCAGGTGCAGCTTCATATATTTGTAACGCACTAATGCCCCTTGTATCATAAAAAAAAAATTCAAAGTTTTAAACATATCCTCTATTATATTGTAGTCAATGTTGCACGAAAAGTTGAACTTTTAACGACCATATGATTCTTGTAATGTTAAAAATGATGTAATGTTATTATACTTGCTGGATTAGGAAAAAATTTTATTGAAAGACAATCAATTGTCTTTGACAAAAAAAATCATTGATCAAGAGCAAGAGTGTGTTTGATAAAATTGAAGTCTAAAAATTGAAGTTTGAATTCATTAAATTATTGGCGGCGAAAGGTAATTGGCGTTGACTAGCCATGAACATGATGAATTTAAACCAAACGTACTTAGACAGAAGTGCAACTACGTCGTTTGACCAGCAGCAGCCGCCAGTGCCGCGGTGTTAAAACTCCTAAGGCGTCAGTACAACTACAACAAACACAACGTACAACTCTCTTACTTTTCTAATCCACTTTCAATTGGTGCTTCCATTTTTTTCTGTTGCAGCAAATTAATTAAAGAAAATAAACCATTATTTCATTTGATTTTCTTCTCCTAATATCGTTGTAAGAATTATCTGGATTTTTTTTTGGGTTTCATTTACAAGATTTATTCGTCGCCATATGTATATTTGATTTCGTTTTCGGAATGATTGGTTGATTTAATTAATTTCTGTACTATGAATATGTTTGTTGTAAATTGAGTAAACTGAATACATCATATTGATAAGCGTAGAAGTGGAATTTCTTGTTTAAACGACTAAATTATTCCGATGAACGGAGTATTGATTTTCAACATAAGCTGAATGAATCCCGTGTTTGAAATAACTTCATGGATAAGCAGCTGGTAATAATTGAGATGATTATGGAGTAATACATATCAGGCAAGTAGGAAAGGAAACAGAACAAGGAATCCAAAAGGCAAGCATTTTTGAGTAAGAGTAAAACTGCAAATGTTTCACGACTTCTTGAATTTGATAGTAACATATATGAATACTCCGTTGCCCTCAGCTGGGTTGCGTAGGCGAAGGGTTGGAATTTCCTTCTCATATCGATCGAATACTTTTTCAGCTACCTCAGTGCCGAAGTGCTTCGTCAACAATCCACCGAAGGCTCCTCTTAGTACTTCAGTAGGAAAAACTGGCAAAGAACTTCTGGTAAAAGTGCTCAGTTCTACAATTTCAAAGCCCGCAGTCTTTTGTATTATAATATTCTTCAGCTCTTCCGGCGAGGGAAAATACATTGGCACGTTGAACAAATCCACCTTGTTTTTGCTCACCATTCCCTGCAAAGATAAAGATTAACATGCTGTTGTGTTTTGACAGGGATTTTGATTAAATGACAGGCATTTTGACTGTGTTTTGAAAAGTTTAAGTTGTAGGTACCTCCTTTGCCAGGTCCAAAAGAATAGTTTCTAGTGGCATGAAAACTTGACTGAATGATGGGTACTGTGTTCCATTGGCTCTGCCTGGGATCACAAGCACCATCAACCCTCCATGAATCAGCTCTTGTGCTCGAGCACTGAGGATAGATTCCATTTCTTTAGTAAATTGGCCTAAATACGCATCACAAACTGCTGTTGGTGCATTAATGTAAGATATCCTGTCTGGATTGTAAGCGGGAGAATTCGGATCTGTTAACTCCTCCTCGGGAACTTTAGAGAGCCAATGCACTGCCTTTGAACAGTATACAAAATCCAGAGAAGCTTTTGGGAACAATCTGCCGTGAAAAGAGCCGGGAACCCCGGCTGCAAAATATTGTCTGTCTTCTGGGAATTTAGCAAAAAGAGCATTAAAATCATTGGTCACACGATCATTGAAGTACACAAAGAATTCTGGGATGCCAAAGCTCTGTCCTCCAGCTTTGTATTTGTCTTTTACAGCTTCGGTTATGGTCCTCATTGCATCCAAAGTATGAGGACCAACAAAGCAGCCTAAATCAGCAATCCGATATGCTGCTGAAGAAGTGCAATGGTGTTTTAGGTCCAAGTGCTGAGAGATTGTTGCAACGAGCGAGTCTTTGTATTCTCCAAATTGCATAGCGCTCTGGGTAGAAAATTAATAAATGTCCAGAAGCGAAACCGAATGTGTAAAGCGAATTTAATCAGTCTGTCTATTCAGAGAAATATTATTGGTACTATTATTTATTACACATACCTGGCTAGAAGGATCCTCGGAGACGCTGTGTTCCCCAGCCATAGCATCTGATTCTGGTTCAACCTGCATTTTCTTTTCCTTTTTCTTCTTTTTTTTGTCACTTGGTTTTGATTAGGTGAATGGATGGTCAATTTATATATCGCTCCCTGGTACAATACAAGACGATCTCAAGTTGCTGACTAGTTTACAACTGCAACAGAGATGGTGTCATTGTGTGCCCATCCATAGATTTTTACAAATCACTTTCCAGGAAGCTTGGCCGACAAAATTGAACTGGCGGCTGCCAAACTTCTGAAAATTGTTATTACACTTGTATTCTGAAAATGTGCCATGGTTTGGTTCTGGGCTAAAATTGTTGATGAAAAGGCAATCAACTTCGACTCTCTTTTCATATGATTAGATCAAGCATGCTCACGAAATAATGAAATTTATGATTAGATCAAGCAAGCTTATGAGGTGTTTATTTCATGGAATTTCTTGTGTACTCCAGTGTATATTTGGTGTGTGGGGAGCTTATCGTGCCGAAGAAGAAGAAAAGGAGAGGACTATAGAGGATGCACATGGATTACTAGCAATAGTCGAGACACAGATTCATGGTAAACCATCTTTCAATGGACAGCATATAGGTTATCTAGATCTAGTTGTAGGATGGATGACTCATTGGCTCAGCTTTATGGAAGAAATTGGATGCATGAAGCTACTTGACCAACACAGGCATCCGGCACTCAAAAAATGGACTGAAGACTTCATTCAGGTTCCGGCCATCCGTGAAAGTACTACATGAAGAGAGATTGTGTTCAACTATTTCCAAGCTACCATAGACTACATGCGCTCTTTAGCTGCCACCAAAGCTTGATTTACTAGGTGTTGTAGACAGTATAGCAACAATATCCTGCTTCAGTTTATGCAGTAGGGTTTTCAATGTTGTATGTCTGTATGCTCAATTACGTCAGATTGAAATCTCACTTTTGCATTTTGACATTCTTGTTAGTAAGCATGATTAATATGTATTTTTACAACACCTGTGAGTTTAAGCACTTTGAGATGCATAAAACATAATATGAACACAGTTTTTTTCTTCAGATCTTTGAGGATAATTGCATTATTGTATCATATACTTAGAAAGCAGTCGAGCACAGTTGCTGAATTATTGTCAAGACAACAAATATCAACTTTCATGAAGGAGTCTGGTCACTGTTTCTATATCCCAGGCCAGTCTCCAGTTTACATCTGGTTTCAGTACCATAAAGCTGAAGAAAAAGTTGCAATGTTTCAATTCATTGCAAAAATTAACTCAATTAAGTAATATATAAAAAAGACTCGTGTACCTTAGCTGGAGAATATACATGTAAATATTACGTACATAATTTTTAGGAATCAGTAGCTGCTGATGCGCCGGCAACGAACCCAGAAAGCTGTTCCTCCACCTCTACCTCGAGCAACAGCTATTTCCTCATCAATGTAAAACCAGATGAAAAATGGATCCTTGTTGCTTGGTTCTCTTTCATCTTTTCCTTTGAGGTTGATTTCGAATGGGTTAAAAGGTCCAACTTTTATCCGTAGTCGTTCGAATATGAAAGCAAGTATTCTGTTCTTCCAAGAAAATCTTCCTTCAAATGTCAAGTATCCAAGAGGTCCCAGGAACACTCCATTCTCAATCCTCCTCCCCTAGTAATTCAGGTCAAGGCAATTTACTCTCTCAGGTTCAATGGGACCAAATCAATTGTTCCTTCTACACTCAATATCATTCAACAAATCATCTAGATTCTTTCAAAACAATATTGAAAGTTGAAACGCAAAGCACACGAAAGCTAATCATCCCCTAATCAAGCAGGTGATAAATGAACATGACACAGCAATATTAAACAACAATACTTGTGCTAATCTACATAGACTTTACTGTTTGGTTATCAGAAGACTTAATGATAGAATTGAATAAAAGGTTATAATAGGCGAACAGTGTATAATCTGAACCAAATGTCTCAATTAGTGGATAATCTGAACCAAATGTCCCAATTAGTGGATTGCCTCGCAACTTCGCAAGGTACAGGATGAGTTTCTCAAGAGAGGTGCCATTCAGTTCCATAATGGAACAGTAAATCGCATCTGGTTAAGAAGAATCACATATTTATGGACAACCCTTGGAAGGATGCAATTGACAATCCTAGAAGGACCATTTTTTACATCATATTTTCATCATAATTGTTACTTTGAGGTTCATTTTCTTCCTAAAGATTCTATAGGGTAAATTGCAATGAGCCAGTAACCAAAACTATTCCACATAATCTTTACTGAGTTAATATCAAATCATCACTCGTCAATCTGTCATTAAGATTTTACATCTCATTAACAAGAAAAGAATGAGCAAAACTATGAGAACTTACAGCTGCATCAAACCTCTGAACAGCAGTAACTGGGAAATATTTACCGCGTTCCAGCTTTTTCTGCAAAATCACATGCCTAATTAGCTTTAGGACACCAAAAGTTACATGTAAACTACTAACAAAAACAAAAGATAAAGAAGTAGAGACAGAAACAGATCACAACCTCTGCAGTAAATATAAGCATCCATGTTCTCCCAGGTGATTCTGTTCCACCAAGAGTTTCAAGAAACCCCGACGGATCAAGCTTTGCCTTCTCAATCACAGAGAAAGCTGACAATATATCCTCAGCTGGAACTTTTCTTGTCTTGGCTGCATTTTTCAGCACTCTCACACTCTCTTCAACTTCCTAAAAAACGAATTTGTATGACAATTACTTTACCTAAACTAGCCAACCCGCGAGAGAAAAAAGCTTGCCAATGCAGCACTATTTGAACTGATTTATCAAATCAATTGATACTATAAGTACTGACAGGACAAAAAAGAATCCCCATGTCCAAAAACTGAAGAAGGTAGGAAGAATTGAGTTACTTAAGCAAATTAGAAGGCAGAAATCTTGGAAACCTTAACGTATACATGTTTAAGGAACAGAACTATATATATACCTTGGTGGGCTGTCCCTCTTCTTTTTCATTTGAATCAAGAACAACAGGTCTAGTTGTGGTCTGGTCCTTCTCATCAACGGTAGCTCTGGTTCTTACAATGGGGAATTTGAGTGTAGTGTTGGCTGAGATTCGGGAAAGTGGGGTTTCTATAAATTTGACATGATTTGGAGTTTGCAGGGGGCAATTGGAGGGTTTGAGGAAAGCGTGAGCTGGGGCGGGAACCACCCAGTTCAAGGGGGACGATGACCAGGAGAACATGTTGAAGAGTGGATCAAATTCTGTTGCCCGCTGACTGTTGGGACTTCTAAGATTTTTTTGGATAAAAAGCTAAATCTTAAAGAAAAGAAAACCAAAAAAAAAAGGGATAAAATAACTTTTTTCGTCCCTTACTTTTAAAGATGTAATTTTACGTCCCTCACAAATTTACATTAGTCAAATTTGGTCTCTATCTAGTTTTTCGACTAATTTTTGACCGAAATCCACTACTTGCACATGATCATTATTTAGAGTAAAATTGTCAAACACATTTCATATTCTCTATCTGGTTTTTCGACTAATTTTTAACCGAAATCCACCACTTACACATGATCATTATTTAGAGTAAAATTGTCAAACACATTTCATATAATCTGATCCATAGTCCCTCATATTTACAAAATGAATTTTTTTGTCCCTTAATTTTCCCAAAATAATTTTTTTTGTTTTTCACATTTTGCAAAATGAAAATTTTGATCTCTCATTGATCATATGTGCGAATAGTCTTTTCTTATTTTTGAAAACTCACGTACATGTCTATTTGATTTCTTCTGAACAGTACGAATAGCATGTAATATATTTCTATTTAATTTCACTTGAATAAGTTAATTATAGTTGTAGTTGAAATCAAATAAAGATATATTACATACTATTCGTACTGTTCAGGTGAAATCAAATAGACATATACATGACTTTAAAAAAAAATTATCCATATACATGATTAATGAGGGGATGAAAAAATTCATTTCTAAAATGTGAGGGATGAAAAAATTCATTTTGTAAAATGTAAGGGACCAAAAAATCGAATTTCGTGAAATTTGATTTGATAATTTTGCTTTTAAAAAATGATCACGTGCAAGGCACATTGTGGATTTCGGCCAAAAAACTAGTCGAAAACCTAGATAGGGACCAAATTTGACTAATGTGAATTTGTAAGGAAAGTAAAATTACACTTTTAAAAATAAAGGACGAAAGAAGTCATTTTACAAATGTGAGGTACATTTAAAACTATTTTTCCAAAAAAAAAAGGCATTGTAATTACTGATTATCATTAGGATTCATTTAACCATTTTATCCTTTACTAACGTCCAGGGAACTTATACGGGAGAAAGGCTTGTTATTTTCTCTGTCATTCTTAGATCAATACGGGCAAAACTTGAAATTAGAAAATTGACTCAATTGTCTCACGATTCACGAGCCATCGAATTCCTACAAACTTTTACCATTATTATTAATTATCCAATTTCCCAAGTAAGAAACGGAAAATATGGGGAAATGGGTTACATTTTCTCCAAAGATTGCTTTTTTTTTTATGTTTCAAAAAAACCAAACGACTTGTGGCTTTTTGTGATAAAGGCTTATTTCAAAACCAAAAAAAAAAAAAAAACCAAAAAATTGCATTTTAAAAGCAAATTGTACATTCGCGCAGATTAGCTGTCCCCAACTGCCACTGGTCAAGCTTATCAAATTTAATTACGATCTTCGAAATCTTCTTCAAATTAACACTACTATTGAGAGCTTGCGCCCGAGAATCGACATCTGATGGTATCCCCACCAATTTGATCCACTGAACATCCAAACAAGGCATTCCTCTTAACTAGGAGAGCAGGGGGCCTGTGATGAGTGCTAATTTACGCCCATCTAATTTCTGCTGCTTAACTTGTGGAAAATTACGTCAAAAAGAAGCAAAAAGGGAAAGGACAAAGGGGAAAAAGACACCAGGAGGAAGGAAGGAAATACATATAACTCTGACTGTGTTAAATATAAACTTTAATCTCGTGAACAGAAAAATATTTGGTCAAAAAACTGACCATGATATAAAAGCATGCTACTCGGTATAACCTACTATCAAAACCAATCGATATGAGTAAATGCAGGTTTACTTCAAATACAGATACAAAACTCTTCTATGTTTCACATAAATACCCCAATGACAGCTGAATGCAATAACCAACCAACCATTGTAGACGGGAGCATCCACAAGAGTAGAAAATCTATTCAGATTCCAGACTAAAATAACAAGTCTCACGATTCACGAGCCATCGAATGAACCTTCTTCCACATCTGCAACCGATACCATAATAGGTAAAAACCTCATTCTGCTGCCGCACTAGTATGTTCAAATTTTACACTCGAAGCCAAGCCTGCATGACCAACGCTAAATTGTCTCAGTTTTGGCTCACAAAAAGCTATACAATCAAGTTAGCTAATGACCCTAGTCCATAGACATCATATTTAAATTAAACAACAGACATCCATCTACCCTTGGATCATATGCCAGAGATCACGACAGTTGTTGAAGCCGCTGTTATCCTCAAGGCAGTAACAAAATGAATAATCAACTACATTATCAATCCCATAGGTAACAAAGGAACAAGCAGGCAAGCATATGCATTTATTATCCAAGTGTAGCAGCAGAAGAAAGCAGATTAAATACAGTAGATAGTTCAGAAATGTGTACGTCTCGCTGAATTACCCATACCCCGTCTATAACAATAAACAGGTTGGAAATAACCATGCGCTGGATATTTGACATCTCTCACAGAGGCAAGACTGAGGTCTCTCAGAGAGGTTAATTACAAAAGGATGATGTCTGTGCAAGAGCCTAGTGCCTGAGTTGCAAAGCACAGCCTGAGAACATCTATCACATACAAAAAGTTGAGAGGTGCATAGCCCAAGCAGACTAAACCAAAGAATAGATGGCTTCTATGATTTTAGCGACTGTCTGTCTAAATGTAAGCTTTGGGGCATGTTCCTGATTCACAATGAGAGAACATGGCATGCAGGTCTTTACACAAGATTGTCTTCAAAGCATAAAAGAATTGGTCTTTCAACCATTCTAACTGATAACTACATCATGATTAACAACATTTATTCCTTTGGACTGTTCCAAGTGGTCAGCAAATTTGGATATTGAACTCATTATACCCAATATGCACTTCAAAAATACATTGCACCGTCCAAAAAAAAAAAAACCAATTTATGCAATCAATCTTCTCCGTCCCTCAAACCTCTACTGACCAACAAAATGAAATTCTCTATTTGATCTCAACAATTACAGGTGGTTTTTCTCTAGTTCCCCTTACTCTTTCCACATATTTCTAACTTCTCCAAGGTCAGCATTTTAACCAGCAACCAGCATTCTCATTTCTTAACTCTCAGTTCAGCCTAATTCCTTGCATTCTTTAAGTCACCAAAGACCAAGAGAACTTTTTAAACCTTGATGCTTATAGACATTTCCTATTTCCCGGAGTCTTCTGGCCAGAACTTTTGCAACAGATAACTAATTTGTGTTCATTCCATTGGCCGAAAATTAGCAGTTTTCTCTTGATAAGTGTTTTCATCCTTCATTTCTTTTTTCAACTTCACATGGCAAAAATAAGCAAAACTTCCTACCTCATGTCAAAATTGTTTTAAGCACGATCACCTATGGATGGAAGGCTAGTAACTTTTCCCACAGCAACAGTTTTCCCTGCAGACATTTCAAATTAATGTCAAGAGTACAGGCAACAGAGAATAAGATATATGTGAAAACCACCAAGAAAAGGAAAGACTTTGTCACCTTCAGTTCGAAGAGTGAAGCGTCCAAGCTGTGGAAAATCACAGAATTTCTCAACACACATCAAATTATTCACCTGAGAAGCACATTTTAACACAAACTTCAAGTTAAACATTACAATTACAAGCATAAAACTGAGAGGATATGCAATTAAAAAAGCAATTTCACATATGAACATAAAAACACCATTGAATGCATAATTACTTTAATCCCACCCCTTCTCTTCCTCTCTACCACTCTCCCCCCAAGCAATGATTCTCTCACATTTTGTCTAAACCTGAATTGACAAGTGGAAAAGTCTGAAACCCTGTGCTAACTTGGATATTTGGTTTAATCATATCAACTAAAAAAGATGCTTAATTCTCTTTAACCTCCTTTTCACTAATCAAAGTTGACTTCCTTCCCAAACTTGATATCCTCATGCTCAAAGTTAACTGAACAGCATTACACCTCATGTGACATGTGATTGTGAATGATCTAAAAGACATGCTCAAGTCACTTACTAACACGGATTGAAGGTAAGCGATAAAGATGTAAAACATTCAAAGAATACAGAAATACTCATCAGAAGTAAACTTAATCATTTTAATAAAACCTGGATACGACAAACGACAACAGCACCATTCTTTACAAAAAGAGGTTTCTTCTTCATTAGCTTTTTTGTCTTCGGGTCAATCTGCTGCATTAGTTCAACAATTTCACATTCCTCAACAATAGCATGAATATGCAATACAGCCTTGTAACCAGCAGTAAAAATAGCCTGAAAAAAAATGTGAATCGCGTTCAATATAGTTACATGCAAAACATGTGAATGAAGGAAAAAACTACGGAAGATAAAAGGAGTATAACAATAAATTCGAGTTTACTTCATACATTATCCAGCAATTCCAAAATCTGTAGCTGCGCGACAAACTCAGATACAGCAGGTATTGGCTTGGCTGCAGATGCAGAAACAGCGTTAAAACCAAGTTTGCTACCTAACAAGAACCAATGCTACAAGAAAAAAAAATAGCTGAATGTGGTAAAACAGCAGTGACATTGACATTTTTCTCAAGCCCTTTCTGGCATAAGAACATCGATAGCTAGACCAATGCCAAATTTGATTTGGAGAGAGGAAAGACTTTTCTGGATTAGAACTCATTTAGCACGACTGCATCCATTTGGATCACCGAGCAAATGAACTAGTAGATAGACATGGTAGAAATTCCAAATAAGTCTAGTCTCAGCCAAAAGAAGATAAGCAAATATGAATGAATGTCCCTGAAATGCAAATAAGCAAATCCACTTCCTATGCAAATCAAACTCCTAACAACAAAAACCAATATAATGCAAAGGAGTTGCCTTTTTTCCTTCAAAAAGTTCTTAACACATATCACATGAAGCTTTAGAACAAGTTTGTAGCTCTCCACACAATCATACTACTAAAGTAGAATTTGATTCGCTGCGTCACTAAAGAAGACTACATTTTCAAAATCCAAGATGATTTTCCTGAATATGAGAGATAATGTACGAGGAACTTACCAACGCTGCTCAAAACAAACCCTGCTAACACTTCCTCTTCCTCAACCCCTGATATCCTCACCCGCAAATTTTCACCAGGTCCAGCACGCCTAGCTTTATCTTCATCACAGAAGATGGCAACAACTTTCACCTGAGCCTGCAGTTTTAGACAAATGTTACATAATAAATTTTCCTTGATTTTCAAACTGTTTCCACCCAATAAACACCACAGAAATCAATACGAGAGATCATTTAAGTGCTAGAAACAGCACCTTGTTTGGCATGACCAACAAATTATCCCCTTCACGGATGCTACCAGATTCAACTTTGCCCATTACCACCGTTCCCATGTCTTTGAATTTGTCAATAATAGGCATTCTATTTAGACAAACATTAGAAGTTTGAAAAAAATGTTACTAGTGATGTAAGAGAATAAGAAACAGAAATTGCTTTCAAAAAGAAAACACACTCAAGAAATTTAAACAACAAACAGCAGTCCTAACCAGACCTAATTACTGAAACAAAATCACCTTAATACTTCTGTAAGAGAAAGGAAGGAAAATCAATGGCTTATTTTGTGCATAAGCACATAAATTCAACAGGTGCAAAAAATTTGAGATAAAATATCTTAGATGAGACTCAGTTGAAAAAGGACCTGATTTTGTAGACCCTTGGTCTTTTCAAGAAACTGACAGGAGAATATCATCCAATGGCGCAGTAAGACAGGCATTTTAAGTGAAAGATGCAACACAGGAAAAATACGGCAACACAGAAAAATAGACAAGACGATACTAATTTTAGGCATTGAACAAAAGCATCAAAAACTGATTCTAATCACAGATAAACTCCTGTTTTCTACCTAAATCTAAGTTTAAAGTACCAAAACTGAGACAAGAAATAAAATGACTGGCCAAGACAGGAAAATTGGGAGCACATATAACCCCTCAAGAAGAGGAAGAAGATTAGACAAGTTTAAAAAATTTAGGTCATATGCTGTACCTAAATGGACCTTTGGGATCGCGTGCAGGAATTTCAACAGCATCAAGAGCTTCAAAAAGGCAAGGGCCATTCCACCAAGGGCATATACTTTTGTCTATTCTTGTCTTCATATTTGAACCCACAAGCCCGGAAATCGGGAGAAACTGTACATCTACATCTCAAACACAATAAAAAATTAAATAACCAAAAAATAAACATAAACAATAAAGAAATGCCCATAACATTAACATATGGAGAAGAAGGTTATATGACCAACTTTATAGATGTATCTCTCACAATAATTGACAAGAAATACAAAGTAGTGAGCAGACAGATCCGTTGAAAACAAGAAATACAGTAAAGCAATATATTAAACAACCCAAAAAAATGTGTCATTACCTTTCTTGACATTATAACCTGAAGATCTCAGGAAAGGAAGCATTTTTGTCTCAATCTCATCATATCTGAAAAAGGGGAAGAGGGAGTAATATTGGAAACTATTCTATACAGTATCACGTATCATCTGTACCCTAAAGGCAGAATCTGAGAAAACACCTTTCTTTTGACCAGTTAACAGTAGGCTCATCCATTTTATTTACAACAACAAGTAGCTTAGAGACTCCAAGAGTCTTTGCAAGCTGGACATGTTCGCGCGTCTGTCCACCTTTCTCATATCCAGTTTCAAATTCACCCTTTCGAGCAGATATTACCTGAATGGAACAAAAGTTGAACGCAGGGATAGATCAATAAACACAAATGGAAAATCTGTCAAAGCTCAATAAGGAACTACAGACATATCAAAAAAAATACTTACCAGCACTCCTATATCAGCTTGAGATGCTCCACTAATCATGTTGGGGACATAACTTTTATGACCCTAAAAATTAGACACACAAGCTTTTATTAGCCTTGCTTGTGAATGATAGATTGAAAGGATCTCAAAGCAGGTATCAAGGAAAATAGAATATTCACAATCAACAAACCAAATCTCAAATTCTGGCACTATAAGCCTTTCTTTAATCAGTTCATCTTCTTTCATGTCTTCTTTTGAATATAATACTAACTATAAAATTGCTCTTCAAAGAAATTGCAGAAATATCTTCCCCAGAATTACAGGTTTTAAGAAAGAGGTCCAACAGTTTTTCATCCCCTGCTTGAATAACTGCCTCTAATCAGATAGTCAGTTGAAACCCTTAAAGGACAGCATACTTCCAGATTTTGCCAACGATTATTGTAAGAGATCAATGCAATGCAACATTGCACAAAATGCTTAAAGGTCCAAATCTAATTGAAAACTTCAATTTTGTCAAAGTACACTAAATGCCTGGAAACAGAAACTATAAATTTTGAGTTTGTAGTAAAATCTCAATTGGAATGTTCTGACGAGCATTCACACATATAGACAAGAAACAAATCTGTAAAAATATGTGACAGGGACTTTTAACCATTGTCTATGCATATATAATTAGATTAAGTAGGTCACAAGTTTCTTTTTCCAATAAGATGGCAGATGCTCTAATTTACCAAAACTGCCTTCCTACTTCCTGATTTTCGTGAGATGGGTCAATATTCAGAATCAGAATGCAGGACTTCTCACATTGATTGAGAAATAAATACTACACTGATACACTATCAAACAAAAAGGTATGAACAGAAAGTACTCGATATATTGCAACCAAACAGGACAAAATGAGGCAGTAATTAAAAAACAGTGGATATGCACATTGGAATAGCTCATAGCTTGTTACTATGCTCTGCACTTCATGCAATTCTGATATTGTTAATTTGAGGTGCTTAATATTTGCATACACGCTTCAGAATTTGTGCATCAAGCTTCAAAGGAGAACAGATAAGAAGCTCAAAAGAAAAGAAAAGCAGTATACCGGAGCATCCAGAATCGTAAATCTAGTCGTCGCTGTTTCAAAATGTGCACGTCCAACCTCAACTGTTTTTCCCTATAACGAGAAATAAACAAGGATAAAACAACAACCTCCAAAGAAAACAAATCAAGAATCTGCTAAAACCAGCAATAATAAATTCAACAGTAAGAGAAACAAACTCAGAGTATGCAAAAAAAGAATAAATGAACTAATTACTTAAAACAGCAAACCCTGCAACAAAAGTTTGAATAACAGAAATTCTCCCAGCAAAACAAAACAGGCAATGGAGACAAAATTTTGTACCTTGACCCTCTCTTCTTCATTTGTATCCATAATATAAGCCATATACCTGGTTAAAGGAAACGACTGTCAGAAAGACTATTTAAGCAAGCTTGTATTAGATCAACAGTGACAAAGAAACTAAAACAAAAACAAGTCAGCAATTAACAAACAGGCAAAACAATGATTTTTACACATTATCTTGACATTCGTACTGCATCTCAAATAAGGCAAAACAATGATTTTTACACATTAACTTGACATTCGTACAGCATCTCAAATAAGAAAGCCACAAAGAAACCAGAACTACCCATTTCAATTAGATAATTAATATATTGAATTCTAATAATATGAAAGTGAAAGTTACTCGCCACAAAAGATTAATCTCTCTATTCCTTGCATACCATCAATTCAGGTAAAGTTATCTATCACAACTATTCCGACATGCATAGTAAGCATTAAGCCCTGAAACAGCAAGTACTGTCAAAGACATGACAAACAAATAAGATGTCTAACATAACCATAGCTTATAGCCATGCACAACAACCATAGCATATATGGCAAATGTGCACACTGTTGCAGCGAAGAAAATTATCAAAAGAGGTTGGAGGTAAAAGGCTAATAACACAAGAAACAAAGTTCAAAGGCACTGAGAGACTATTGGCAAAGTGAAATGCAGTTGAAACATGTGAAGGAAAAATAATGAATAAAAATTTATAGTGGCTAGGTTTGAATTGGAAGTTTTTTAAAAGCAAGTTTTTTTCCAACAAAATCCAGTAACCTCCCAAAAAACACCTAGACAACACACCAATCACCTAAAAACATCCCATAAAACACACAACCACCCTAACAGAATACCACCCCTTCTCCTTTCAAGACCATCCCCAACCACCATCTCACTCACCCCACTTCCACCAATACTGCCGCCACCTCCCTCGCTCCCCTCCCCCCCCAAAAAACAAACCTCACTCACCCCCCACCAACACTACCGCCCCTTCCTCCCCCTCTTTCCTTCCATCCCCACCTTCACCCTCCACTTCCTTCCCTGCCACCCTCCCCTCCATTCCACCACCTCTTCTCCCTTCCTCCTTCCCCATCCCGCCAACATCCACAACCCCTCCCCTCCCTTCTCCTCTTCCCCGTCCCCGTCCCCGTCCCCTTACAGATCTTCCCCCAGACCAAATCTGGTTGCAGGACCAGATTTGCGAGATGGAGGGCATTGCGGAGTGGAAAGATGGGGGAGGAGGACAGAGAAGAGATGGAGGGGAGAAGGAAGCAGCACTGAGCGGCTAGTGATGCTGCTAGGGCAGAGGAGGGTCGCAAGAAATTGTGGTGGTGGAGGGGGGGAGAGGATTGGGATGGGAGAGAGGGAGGATTGCGGTAGGGAAGGTGGTTGAGAGGGAGATTCATGATAGGGATGGCGGTTCGCCACAATAATGCCAAAGAGTGAAGGTGGGATTTTAATTTTGAGGCACAATAATGCCTCAAAATACACCCCTAAAACATCCATCCTTTTTTTTAAATCAACAAAATGTACAGTAAAATTTCTAGAAACACCCAATCCAAAAGGACTCTTAGAACATTGTTCCAGAGTTTCCCTCTCCTCCATCAGAAATAGCAGTTGCACAAAACATCCATTTGACATTTTTCACAATCAGGATTGAGAAGCACAACTAAGAAACAAATGAGCCTTACCAACTCTCTCTGCTTTTGTCCTTTGCCTCTTTTTCATATTTCTGAATAGTTCGATCATCAACTTGACCGCTTAAAAACAATATCTGTCCCCCTGTAGTTGACTTGCCAGCATCTGCAATTCAAAGCCAATCTAAGGTAACTCCCTGATATATTACAAATGTTCAAATCTTAACCAAACTTTCTATTTTGAAGCCCAAATAGATACTTGGAAATGGCATGCACAATCCAAAGCAATTCAAAGTCATTAGACAACTAAAACAACTGACTGTTTAGTTAAATAAAGAACCAATGAAAAACAGAGTCATAGTTACTTCACATCAAACCACGACTAACGGCACTAACAAGCATACAGTTTGCAGATTACAAAAAACTCATAGCATAACAAGAGAGGAGTATCTCCGAAACTGACTGAAACTGACTTTAGATAAAAGGCATCAGAGAAAGATAAATATTCTACTAAGCGTTGAAAAATGTACAGTAGCATCAACTCAGGAAAGATCTACCTAAAAACTTTAAAATGTCCTGACTAGTTTATTAATAAAAAGTTTGCATTAATCCCTGTGACAGCATTTCTTTATTTTCAGGTAGTTTTCGTGCATTGGAGAGTGTTGGCAGTCAGTGAATGGCTTTCCCCCTCAAAATAATAGGAAAAAACCAGCCTAATTGAGCATAATAAGGAAAAGAAAGAGAAAAACAATCTAGTAAATTACAACTACACTACCAAGATAGTACAAATGACGAAGTCGAGCACCTACACAAAATCAACATCCTTAGTAACAAGCAATAGGGTTCCTTATGGTCAAAAAAAGAATTAGAGCCTTCAATAACTATATAATTAGAATTGATGAAGAAAACTTTATCTTACCAACATGACCAATAAACACAACATTCAAATGTCGCTTTGTGCTCTCTTCCACCTCATCTTCAACAACTTCAGGTGCAGGCGTTTCTTTTTCTTTCACTGAATAAACAAGAAATTGTACCAAAAGTATTAGAAAAGCTTATCGAATTGAAAGAACAAGTATAAACTATACAACGACCTCCACAGAGTTTCTTCAATATAACGGTACACATTCCACATTCAGCGAGTGGTAGAACAGACAAGAAAAGAACCAACAAAAAACACAGAGAGAGAGAGAGAGAGAGACCTGCTGAGGTGCCTTTCAGCTCAACACCAGCTGGGGGGGGAGCATTTGCATTTGCCACATCTTTCAAACCTACAACAACATCAGAAGAATTCGTAACCACAAAGACACAACAATTTCACAATTCTTCTATGTCTAAGCATATTAAAAAGCCATCATATGCCAAGAGCAAAAACAAGTCTAATCAGTCAAAGTGATTCATCAATTAATTTTATCCACCTTCATCTTTTTCATCAGGTTTAACAACATCGTTTGGCTTAGCATCTTCTTCGCCATTAGCATTACCAGTAACAATATCTTCTGCTAGCAACAACGAACCAAAAAATGATTTAAAAAATGGGAAAAGAAATTCAAAATAAAAAGTAAGTATTAACTGTACTAAAAATTGAAGTACTTATACCAGAGGAGTCAAGTTGGAGAGCCTTAATCTCCTCTTCAATATCTACGCATATACACCATTCAAAGTTCAAGTTTACTTCCAAATCCAAGGAAAAAAAAAACTGATCAGAAAAATTAAAACGCAAAGATTTACCGAAAATGAATCTTACCCATGATAGAGGAAAGTAATAGCTTCCAAGAAAGGGGATTCGATGAAGATTCGGATTGGCTGGTTTCGATACGGGGATGGATTCGAGAGAGAAGGAGCAGGGGTTCAGGTGTCCTGTGCAGGAAATGGAGAAGAAGATAGCCTAGAAATGGGGGATATTAAACCCTAGCGAAATTCTCTTCCAAAATTGCTAAGGAGTAGTTTGTTATTTACGAGGGTTTGGGAATCATACACAGTTTGTGCATTTTTGTCATTGTCAATTTTCATTCCCATAGCATTTCTGATTTTAATATTTGAATGAATAGGTTTTTTTTTTTAAAGGAAAATTGGAATAGGTTTAAAATTGCTTAAAAGGTTACCCAATTTCAAACCCAAGTCAAAAATCATAAGAACTTTAAGCCCTTTTTCCTAATCTTTTTTTTTTTATATATACACTCATTCCTAAATGACTCCAATATGGTAATTGCAAAAAAAAAATCCCTTAATTACAATAATTAAATACTTTATAGATTATCAAAATCTAAATTTTACTAAATTAACTCGCACTATCAACTACATAATCGTTTATAAACACGCACGCATTTATATATATATATATATGAAACTACTAATAAGCATTTTTTCAACTAAAAAGTTTACAGTAGAGTTTCAATAGAAATTACAAAAAATGACATAAGAAGCTCCAACTATTTTCATGTGGTAAATCTCCAACAATTTAAAGAACCAAAAAGTGAGGTAAATTACTGCCAAAATATTTTTTTTTCTTAGAAAACAAACAACTTTTTTTTTTTCTATCTAAACATAAAAAGTAAAAGAATCCAACATATCGGTCGAGCAGATGAATTAGGATACACCATCATGGGTTATAGAAGCCAAGTCCAATAAATTTGGGCACACATATTATTGTATCCCGGGCCGGTCTCTGACGCTGAACGATGTACTGCTAGACGGGAGGGAATTGGAACGTGGAGGTGTTGCCGGCATCCATTCTGACTGGATATCCAGTGAAAAGCCCAAGCCCATCTTACCTCGACAGCTGGAAAGTCCAGAAGAATTATGGCGTGGGCCAACTTTCCTCTTTATTTGGAAATCTCGCAGTCCTTGTCTATAATTGACACGTGTCAGGATAGACCAGGAGAGTAAAGAAGAAATGTGGGTGAGGTTATTTCCGTGGTTAGGTATAGTCATCAGCGCCAGTCGCCAGTACCTGTGCAGATCTAAGACTAGATTTTGTCGGTTTTGTTTGCCTGCGACCAATCTTACGTTAGTACCATGACTTCACCCAATGGAAGCCAAGATTTCATAGTGTTCTAATTTGCCTTTGCTATTTCTGGTCTCATAGAGGGTCAAGTGTTTCTGTCACTGAATTTAACTTTTGCTGTTTTTCTTGCTGTTTCTTAACTTGTGGCTTTCCCCAGGGATCCAGCGAATCTATTGCCCTCTGTCTCTGTAGATGGATCAGAGGCTTTTCCCCGAGAAAGGAACGTTGTAGAATATAGCAACTGTTATTGTAGCTACACAATTGGTTTTTGTAATAGTTCTTTTTTTTTGCCCTTTTTCCTGAAACATTAATGCTACTGCATTTCTAATCAGGCCCAATGGGCGGAAATTAGAGTAAGATTAACTGAATAATGAATACTTTGTACGATTTCAATTTTCTTTACGGGTGCATTTATGTTCTTACCATTATCCTGGTTGAAGTTGGATTTACACGACAAACAACTTGTGTGAGAGTCTCTGTTACTCTTTTTTTTTTTATTTTTTTGTCAAGAGAGTCTCTATACTCTTGCTCTACCGAATTTCTGTGTGGTTTCTTCAAGATTCGACTGTCTTATCTTGCCTAAAAGCATTTATACTTGCTAGTTCTTAAAAGGGTTCTCTCTTGTTCTCGAGAGAGAAACCTATACACCTTCTTAAGCATATATATTGGCTAGTTCTGCGTGCCACTAGTCAAGTTAAAGAAATGAAAAAGAAGAGCAGAAACCAGAAAATGCTAAAAGCTCTTTGCTCTCAATCTTCAAACTGTGAGGGCAAGGAGGAAAACCCTACTTTACATGGAAAATGCCAGAAAAAGCAATCCTCGAAGCGCTGATAATTTGTCTGAAAACCCTAATGGCTTCCGGAGGAGAGGGTTGCGTCGTGCTTGAAGCCCACTCTGTTGTATATTCTGCATGCGAAGGTTGTAACTCGTGGACTCCATCATGTATTCATTTTCTAGTTGCAAATCTTCTCTTTTTCCTTCTTTTCCGGTCTATTTGCTGCTATGGTTTCTATAAAAGAATGGACAAAGATAGTATATATTTCTCATTCAGAATAGCCACAAATGACGCACTTGTTTCCTGATTTTAATCTTCATGAACGCAAAACCTAATTGCCTGTTTAGAGTTTGTCAAAGTCAACCGAGTCTTTATGGACGGAAGTTGTCAGATCCGGTGTGGGACTTGGGATTAGTATATTACAGGCTTATATTTTCTCAATTTCCATGAATTGAACAATCGTAACCCTGCCCAATGAAAAAACACACTTAGTACCTATCAATACTGGAAGATGATTTGTATCACCTATCTGTATGCTGGAGGAACAAGGGGGTTCCGTTGGTAATCCATTCAATTTAGTTTGAGGCTTGTCAACTTTTGCCAGGTGATATATTTCCAAAAGTTGTACAGCACATTTCTGAGAAGTTTATCGTGTTTATAGAATTATGACCCAAAAAAAAAATTAACTCTAATAATTACATTTTTACCACATAATTGTAGTCACAAGTAGGTCTAAATCGTTAACCAAATGTTTTGTTGAATTTAGATTTTATCCGGATTAAATCTAAACCTCAACAATACTACTATCATCTCTCTAAATGCAATTTGGAACTATTTGTGCTGAGTAAGAATTCGTGGTAATGGAGTGTAACTTTTTGCTAGTAGGACATTTTTGTGGTTCGTTGGGATGTTAAAATAGCTACTACTTAACAAAAATGGATTTGCCAAATAGGGCTCACGACAAATGAGGGATCCAGCTAATGGTTGAAATTTTTAATGAAAAGGACATTAGGGAGCTAAACTCTACTTTTAATGATTCGTTGTGCAAGTGTTTGGAGTAAATGAAAGCTGTGCGGCTTCACTTGATTTTCAACTCATACCACAAAAAGAACCATTTACTGTTTGAATATAATAATAATTTATTTGGACAGAGTATTATTTGAAATGATTATTGTAGTACTTTTTATGATATAATGTATATGAGATTCGTTGGAAATATGAAAAGATTAATTGAAAAATGTATTTATGATACAAACGAAATATTATTTGAAATAATGAAATATCCAAAACATTTTCAAATTTATTACGACTTCTGTGCCCTCTCTCCTTTGAAGGGAAAGGTTTCTTTTCTTCTTACCTGCCGCTAAGGAAAATTAATAGTCAGAAACAAAAAAGTGATGTTGACTGTGGAGTAAAACATATTCATCTGCACTACCCTACTTCAAATTTATGACATTCTGATAATATCTACATCACATTGTGGTTCAATAAAATCACTTTTCAGGATCTAATTTAATTTTCTTTCATTTGAAAAAATATATTGAACAAGGCTTTGCAAATAAAACTGAAGATCACCACAGGCTCGCAATGGTTAGCGACAAATCTGAAAGTTCTTAAGGAAGATTTATATTGCTTCTAAAGTTCGATTGTATCGTTGCTAGGTAAGCTTGGCATTTTAATTATGGACCTCAGGAACAAGTTACTGAAAACGTAAAATTTGCCCCTTAAGGAAAACCGAGAACAGATACCCTTTTTATTATTATTATTATTATTAATAAGATAGAACAGATCGCATTCACTCCTCTGAGTCTCTCACCAGACCAGCTTCCCACCAACCTCACTGGTAGTATGTCTAATTGGGGCATACGAATGTCGGCTACCATAAGGAGAGGTCGGGGGCTCAGTCAATTGTACAAGAAACAAGTTGCTAAGGATACAATTAACTCAATTAAATTCATGGCGCAGCATGAAGAGCCTTCGCACATATGTGCTAGATGGCTTGCAGCTCCTAGTGCTCTATGTAGAACAGCAATGACATCCAGCACTGCCCTGGACATCAAAACATTCCATGCCCCTTTGAATAACAATCATCCCAAAACCTGAAAGAAGGCAAAAACCATGATAGATCTTCATGAGTACCTTATCTTTCTCGTTTACATATAATAGCACTATCAATCACTGAATACGCATCAAAAAGTTTCCTTCCAGTCTTACACTCTTTGCTTTTCCTCCTCTGGTTCAACTATATTTATCTGAATGATTTATACCTCCTATCAAATTTTCCAGATATGTTGTTTGGTCTATTCCTTTATTTTCACCTTAGTGCAAGACTACGGGTCATACCTTATTCTACATGTGTAATAAAGCCATTCTCCATGCTAGCATCCAAATTCAAGCCCCTGAATGAAAAGAAAAAAAAAATATATCAGCTAAGAAACTGGGAAAAAGGTTCATAGAAGAATGCAAATCAGAAGTAGCATTATCAGATATCACCTCTCCACAGCTTCCTTCTTCATCACTTCAAGTTGATTTTCAATTTCAGCACGTGCAGCTTGAATTTCTATATTTTTAAAGCAAAGCTCCCTCCATTGTGAAGATAAAGCGTTAAGTTCATAAGCTGTGTTTTGCTGATAAATGACAGAAGGAACATAACTACCTAGTGATCATTGAGTCTGCCAACTTGGGAATATAAATTGACAATAAGGTACGTTCTCTGACCTGATGATATTTTCTTTCACGGTTTACAGTTTCAATCTTTTCATTCAGTTCCACAGCTTGTAATTGAGCCCTGAAAAAATAATTCAAGTACTTGAGCATATTGCTCCCTCTACTAAAAACATTAAAAGAATGAACCAAATAGAACTTAAACTGAAGATGAAGTAACTGAAGACTGAAATGAGGCGACATATAACAGTCCATAGAATACTAGGAACTGTCTCATTGATTAGGCATAATTCTATACAATGCATACTGTAACTGATTATTTTTTTAAGTGTAGGAACGCCAGTGTCAACGAAACTTGATTTACAAGTGACCAGAATCTTATGGCCTTCTAAGATGATGCAATTATGGAGAGAAGCCTCAAAAGCTAGATGTTGAAGTGGGAGAGCCCAAAGCAATATAAACTTGCATCAGAATGCCATATTTCCGATGTTCCCATACCTTGCTATTTGGCCACAAAACAACCTCACCAAACAGATGCAGTTTACACATC